CCGTGCTACATGCCTCATTCTCTTCCATCAGCCCTAGTTTGGCCGGTCTTGTATGCGCGACAACCGACGGAGACCACATGCTTGACTTGTTGTCAACCAGAATATGCCTATCATTTCTAGTATGCTAGGAATTGTCGTTTAGATACCTTTTGGGCGTAGTGAATTTGATGGCTGACCCTTTTTTACTACTTGAACTGATTAAACTATTCTACCTGATTACCTATGAGCGCTAATAAGGCAACATACACCAGACCTAAAGCCCTTATTCCATGGCAGCTTGCAGTAGCATTGAGTATATGATTATTAAGGTGTCTACAGGGTGAGCGAGAGAGAATACCAGCAGATATTCATATGCAATCTACGAAACATTTCAATGTATGATGTATGAAATTGTTGTCACTATGGGTAAGTATCGTGGTGAAGAAGCAATTCAATGTCTAGAAGAAGAAAGGAAAAAATATAAATTCTCCTCCCCAAGGCTGTGATCCTTGACTTTAATATGTCCAGCGTGTCCATACAAATTCTAGCTTGCACATAGGCGGTCAAACATCTCCTCCCTCACATTCTCCATGGCTGCGTCATCTGAGATCCAACTAAGCTGCACTCCAAGACATATTACAGGAGTTTACAAGTGCCAGACCCAAAAATAACCAAGACGTTGGGGCATCATTGCTTGGATGGATTTCAAGATTGTCGAAAACAGCAGCTAAAAACTGCTCAGACACCGGTTCCAGCAAGAATAGCGATCGGAGAGCTATGGGCCAGGGTATTGACTCTCATGGTTTCCTAAGTCAGAGCTTCTAGCCTTGCTTGCTGGTCGACTGTGCGGTTCTGCATAGGGTTGATCCCTTGCTGCGGAAAGGCACAGCTGTACCTTCTGAGGCAATTCCGATGACACGTCTACCCAAGATGGGTTACTAGTCTAGGAAATCCGAGACGATGAGATAAAGCAGCTCAGTGGAGATCTGGGCTCTTTCTTGTGCTGTAAGTCAATTGCATTAGGGCTCTCCATACTGTACTGCAGTGAGAGTACCTATATGTCTCATCAGACTTCAGGTTATTGTGTGCTGGCCCTGTTGCATTAGCTGGGGACTTTGCATGGATTTGAACTGAAAATAACTTGTGTTTTAGCGGTGCAACAGCTTTGAGCTCTCTTTTTTCTCGAGCTTTAATCTCCTTTGTCCATAAAATCTTCACTGAGAGTGGGGTACCTATTTTGTGTCGTCTTGTGTCCCTCGGGTGTTTCTTTGAATTCTATTGGTTGAGTGGGCCGCAGGGAACAATTCTGGAAGGAACGCAGCCAATCGTAATAAAACCCAAGACAGGAACAGCCCACAGTCTGCACCAATCACATTGATTTGATCTCTCACGATCTGGATCCGACAAGAAAACTTTGAATTCCCGTCTGACCGCAATTTTTGAGATGGGGATGCAGCTGCAGATCGCTATACGAGGTCAAAGAGCTCTCCACTCTTGATTGTCGGCTAGTCTCCGCGGCGCCTGAACTCATTTGAAGAGAATTCATGTGAGTGATTCATACTGGACTCAGAAGCGCAAGAACTTGATAGATACACACTTCGGCTGCTATCCGCTGCATGCAAAGCTCCCGTGTTACACCCCTTCAGCCACCCTGCTGCGCACCATGACATGATTGATTAGTAATCCATGCCGCTTCCCAGGTGCCCGGTGTCGGGGAGAACGGAAGAAAGGATTTTCGTTCCAGTCTAGAAGGGACTCAGAAAGAGAGAAGGACAACAAAAGTACCGTAATGTCGGTCTAGACACGTTTCTCTTTAATTAAACAGCGGATGTACTACTCGATACTACCTTAATTTAGGCCCTTTTCCGGAGGTCAAATGACCTCAACTTACCATCCTAACTAATATCGAGAGTAGCTGAACCGGGCGGATCGAGACCTCGTAAAACCAACTATTTTTAGATTAAGCATCAAATAATCAGGAGACAGCGAGAAGGCCAGATAACAAGTTATCGCCTCCGCAGCTTTGGTCTGAAAGTGTTAGGTAAAAGAAAAAGGGGCATAGGAAGTTCCTCGGGACTCGGAATTGCTTCAAAGGGGCAATATCGACTTGGCTCTCCTTAGCGATATTAAATCACTGAGCGGTGTACGGGGATAGCCAGTCTTAGCAAGAAAACTTGTCAGGTCAGCTGAGACACTAAACAACAGCTAACTGATAGCAGTTCATCAAGACAACGAATGACAACTCATCCCGGTGGATAATGGATTCCCATCAGGGGCAAACGGGCAGAACGCCATTGCTTCCTGCGGGTCAGTTGCTTCGGCTTGTGGGTATCGACCCAATTATTGTTGGATTTGGTCGAGGGAACGGATCGCCAACCGAAAACTTTTCGAATTTTCCATGTGTGCGTGCGTGACCACCGAGTCCAGATGGCTCCATATTGTATGATAGTAATAAAAATGTCAATCCGCGGTGGCCGGTGATATTTATCCATTCCACCTTGTTTCGAGAGTAGAGATAGATCACTCATTCCCCCGTCAAACTCTCAACCCAGCCTCAGTTGCATCTCCACTTGATACTCTCCCCCGTGGATACGCGGGGAACTCAGTCTAGTAGTCATCATGGCCTACGACTGCTACTGTGCCATCTGCGGTGTCGGCTTTTGTGGAATGCTCATCGAAACTCCATCAGAAACAGCAGCCGAGCGTCGAAGAAGGTGGATTGAAAAGAGATCCCAGGCCCTCCAAGCGGGCCAGTCTATCGACCAGGTCCCCCAGGAGGGAGAAGAGCCCGTTCGCAGCTACGACCCCAAGATTGTTGGCTGGGAGAACGTAGCATGGCTTTATAAGGCCTACTGTCTCGGATTTAACCCTCAGGCCGCCTCGGGGAAGGGGAAGTGAGTGCCTGATGATCGCCTTTTGCATCGATTGAGGCAGAATATCTGACTATTATTAGGACATTTGTCTCCGGACCAGGTTATTATGCCGACGTTGTATGCTTCTCCAGTCAAGGTTATATCGACAATTCAGCAGGCTTACAGATCATTGCAGGGAGAGATCGCCATCAAGTCTGGAACTGACGCTGTACCGGGCCAAGATCGGAACGTTTATACCTGGTTTGACCACCCTATCCATCGAACTGGAAAGGGCCCATTCTAATGTGATGCAGCTATGGCTCCGGGACCGACGACACCCCCGGACCAGTCATCCCCTTCCACGGATGCTGCTTTGAGATCCTCACTCGCGTCCTTACCGGCTCCACCGATAGCTCAGCGATCGACACGAAAATACTGTACAATGTTATGACAGAGCTGTCCAACGAATCCTCCTCCGCTCTGCGACTGAACTATGGCGACGACATTCGGCGGGCGCAAGGCCGGTACTGGGAGTGCATCCCCGGCGCAGAGGCAAGAAGCCACGACCAAGTCGCATCCTTCTCATACTGACCAGTTGCAGTACTGCGCGACTCATCCAACCGAGACATCTGGCTTGGATGATTTCCTCAAAACCAACCTGGCGACGGACGGCAAATTCAAAAAGTCATTCTCACAATTCGATCTCAAGGGCCGCTCGCCTGCCAGCCCCTTCGGCAAGCTCCCACTCGAACTCGTGTATCAGATCTGCTCATACTTGCCCGGTGATTCGCTCAAGGCATTGACTCAGGCGTCACTGAGCATTCAGGTTGTCACCCAGGACAACTGGTTCTGGAAGCGATTTATCCAGTGGGATATGCCATGGTTCTGGGAATTTTACACCTCGCAGAACCCCAGGGATTTGCCGGCCGACGTCAACTACAAGCGCTTGTATCTGTGGCTCGACAAGATGACTGCTGCTCGGTATGGCATGGACGACCTGGGGCTCATTGGAGTTGCGAACCGTCGACGCATCTGGGGCGTATGTGAAGAACTGGCCAGTCAGTACCACAAGGCTGTGGCAGCAGCGTGAGAGAATGCCTCGGCAACCTTGACATTTCGAAACCAACAATATGACGGATAAGGCCGGTCGGCTGCATCTCTGTCGCTCATCTCACACGAAGCAAAACCGACCCCTCTCCATCCGATATCCTCTCGGAATCATGGCAGGAGAGGGAATGAGAGCACCTGTGCTTGGAAGATTTCAAGGATCGCTATTTCCAATCAGAACGAGATCATTCAACCAGGACAAAGCAAAGTTGCGGTCGCGATAGTGCAGGAAATATCCGATGCCGGAGCGAAGCCAAAAACCATCATTTATAGTCGATCATCATTCTTTGAAGCCGCGGAGGATGGCCTTGATGAGGAATCGAATTGGTCGGATTGAAGTGAGACAGCTTCTCCACGATAATTCGCATTCCCCGATGCGAATCACACAGGACGAGCTCTCCCTGCTTGGTTGCGTCACTCGCTTGGACTATACGATAACCAACTCTACAATTGCCCGAGTGGTGGGATTATCGAGAGAGAGAAAACATTGACTCATGGAGGCAATGCAAGGGCGCAAGCGGGCCGAAATATATCGTCCTAGACTATAACGGAGGAACATAGATCTGGTGGAATTATGGATAGACGGAAAAGATAGACTTATTTCTGTATTAATTTATAATAAAGAATATATTCCTTAGACTTTTGTGATGCAATTGCGATATTATGAAGCTCGGAGTTTGTAATATGTGAACTGTGTCTATGGACTACAGATCTCATACAGTGTTCTATGAAATACCTGGCGGTCTCTGGTTAAAGTCTCTTCACGACAGAATGAGCCTCCCATCTGTCCCGAAACGTCTAGACTCATCAATCGCAAGAGACAACATTAGCCTCCAAGCTTGTCCCAATGCTATAGACTACTAAAATATTAGTTACTGGTACATCTAGCTGCGGAGTCAGCGCTAGGACGGAGTGAGACATGTGATGACGTGGGATGGTTGCCTGCGAGTTATGGACTGCTGTCTTCCGTGTCTTTGTCTATAAAAGGCCACAGGATGTGACTCAAGCATCAATATGAGCCAGCAGTAGATCGAATCAGAAACAAGACAACATTTGTGCATCATGGCTGTCATCCAAAGAGTCGCTATTTTCGGTGTAAGACCGACTGTTAAGCGTTCAATATGACGAGAAACACCCCTACTGACCTCCCTACCGGCCTCTGGCAACTTTGGCACCCCTATCACAGCAGCCCTACGACGTGCGGGCTTCACAGTAACGATCATCACCCGGACCGAATCGAAGGCGACGTTCCCTTCCGACCTTCCAGTTATCAGAACGACTTACTCCCTGGAGAACCTCACATCAGCCCTAGCGGGACAGGATGCAGCCGTCTGCGTGGTGGGTCCCGGCGGTATCGGGGCACAAGTCACCATGATCGACGCCGCCGAGGCTGCGGGCGTGAAGCGCTTCATCCTGGATGATTTTGGCTGGGGTGACAATCCCAAGTCTTTGCCCGAGTTCAACGACATTCATGCGCATCGTCGTGCGGGATGGGATCACGCAAAGGCGAAGGCAGAGAGCAATCCCAGTTTTACATACACGGGAATCAGCACTGGGAATCCAATTGACTGGGTGAGTGATTGCAATTCATGTCATACTCTCGCCTCCGACTCATCAGCTCTCAAGGCATTGAAACGCTTCCCCCCGATGGGCTTCGATGTAGCGCACTTCTCGGCCATCATCTATGACTCTGGCACCGAACGGTTCACCGGAACCACCCTCGAGGGTATCGGACAGTCGGTGGTCGGCATCTTGCAGCATACGGACGAGACATCCAACCGCTTTGTCAAGGTGCAGTCCATCATAACCTGTCAAAACGAGCTGTTGGAAGCCTTCCAGTCTGTGACGGGGAAACAGTGGGAAGTAAAACGAGGGTCCACCCACACACTCATGGAGAACGGGAAACGCAAATTCCAGGAGGGTGCTAGTGGCTGGATTCTGGACTTGGCGGTGGCACAATTATTCGACGAAGGCCAATCTCGTTGTCTTCTCGCTCAGTCGCGAGAGGAATCAGATGCGGATTTACTGGGAATTGTACAGGAGAGTCCGGAGCAAGTCGCGGCCAAGGCTCTGGCTTAGAAGTGGTGTACTTGAAAAGTGGAATCCGGGTTGAAAGCGCAATCACTACGTTCATTAGCTTAGTAGCCGCGAATCGAGTCCTATGTTGAGACAAGTTCTCGTCGCTGAACATGTTTGTGTTGCAACTGTCCCTTCTAATGTCACTGCTCACACTGGTATTGCATGGGCCTGGGAGGTCACCTAAGCATTTCTAAGGTTAACAATCGTGGATATCTTCTGAGAGTTGATAGTATTTATCTTGATCAATCACCGGCCTACGGTTGTAGTTGCCGTGCTAAGAGACGCATTACGCCTGGGCAAATATACGGGCACCTACCCACCAAAAGATGATTCGCCTTTGTCATCCACGAGGTCAGAACTTGCGTTGCGATTTGATATTCGTCCAGTACTGCCTGGTTGATAATAGAACGTCAGCAGACACCAGAACATGCCTTAAGGGAGAATATCTTTCATAAATCCCGACTACTTAACTCCCGTAGACATTCAAGTGTAGACATTCTTACTCCCTGAATCACATTGCAAACCAGCATCGAACATGACTACTTTTCGCTTGAACATCGACTACTGTTTAGTTTCCAGAATGCCTTCTTCCACTTTATAGCATTGACTTGTCAAATCTTTTCTCTGATGGAGCCCATGAGTGACTGTACAANACTTTATAGCATTGACTTGTCAAATCTTTTCTCTGATGGAGCCCATGAGTGACTGTACAAGAGTGAACCCATATCAACCAGACCCTAATATTGCCGGAGCAGGCGTGCGTTTCGCAGGCGTTTTTGACAAGACATATACTAAAGGTTTCTAGGTAATCAGCGGATTTATATTGACCGGAACATTGACCTTTATCGCCTCGTATGCCGTTCTTTACCTTCGAAGGCGCGGCTCATACCCTATAGCGTCCACGATCCACCAACAGCAATGCGGGAAACACAGAAGACTGAAGCACTCGAACGAATTCTGGATACGCGTCTTGACTGCTTTTGTGCTTCAGCTGAGTGACCAGCAACTGGTGACCGGACTCTTGCTGCTGGTGTGCGGCTATGCTCAGTACTGGGGATCGTCCGTTCATCACGGCGCCAACAATCTATGGACAGTGACCGATGTGGTCTGCTGCTCCAGCTTCACGCATGCAGCCACGCTGCTCTCTCTCTGTCCTTACTTCCAGCGCCACCGAAAGCTTGCTACGCTTCGTGTAGTGATTATGTATATCATTTACGGCTTGTGGCTGGTCGTCGCGGTGCGCATCCTATCGCTTGATAAACCAAAGGATTCCCAGAAGCTGCCCTCCTTGGCCAGCAGGTTCTGGCATGCAGCGACGGTGATCGAGGCCATTGGCATTATGTGGATATACCTGTTCACATATCTGCCGGTCTTTCTTTCTGAGCAGGCAATGGAGGTCAGAACGATTGTCAGCCGTGTGTCCCTCTCAACCCAGGATATCGCCTTCATCCGGGAATGGTTAGCTCTGGTGAAGCCTTTGTCGCACAGCGCTGCTTCGGGCTCTATATGGCATCGGTACAACCCGTATGCAATAGCGAAGCGGTGTCTTTTCAAAATGGCGGTAGCTTTCAGCGAAAGGTATGTGGAGACAGATTCCAAACTGACAAGAAGGATAATATCATTGATTGCGGAGTTGATCTTTCCGTGGAGCACGGCCGGTGTCTGGCTGGCACTGTTGTGGGCTTTCAGCTTAGGTGCTCTGATTTACAGTCTACTCCAAAACGGCCTCACATCATCCTGGGATTTTGGTCAATTACTGCCTGTCTTCATGATCCTGCTGCCATTCGTCAGCTTGGTCACTTCTATAATTGGGGATGAGAGCGCTCCGGTGTATTCTGACGGGTTGACTTGATGTTCCCGCGTCTGAATCTGGCTGATAGCAGAATGAGTACTCATAAAATAAGCAGGTGTGAAGAGAAGGATGAATGTACAGCAACTCGTCTTGTTTAATTTGTCTTACTGTCCTGTGACGATATGTGCGCAATCCTAGTGCAAGCGTATAATACTCAAGGAACCTGACCGCGTCAGCATCGAGACTATCTCCACTGAAATGGTAAAATAGATCGTATGAGCTCAAAGGTAAAAGTTTGCTATTGGTTCCTATCCCTATTCAATGATATATTGACTACATTTGAGACAGCGCGAACGACGGATCTCCAGCTTTAATACCCATGGCATATATTCGAACCATATCGGACTCCGGACCACGTTCACACGTGCCAATAATCGGCATAAAACCCTGCAAGGAGGCGTTACAAGCACTGTGAGTAGTACGAATTCGAAAACTTGCAAGTGCCAGAAGAGCAGCAAGTAGGGCCAGACCAGCCGATTCCACCGCACTGGCCGTACAAAGCAGAGCACTATCACAGTCAGAAGAGACAAAGCCACAGCCGTGTGGGTGAGGACTTACACTGCCGGAGCCACCAGTAGAGGAGCTGCCGCCCGAGGAAGTGGTGGAGGAGCTGCCGCCGTTGCCCCCTGAAGAGGAACCACCAGACGAGACGGTGATGGTGGAGGTACCGCTGCTCTGGTATCCCTCAGTGGAGACGATCTGATAGTTGTGGGTACCCAGGTTCATTCCCAGGCTAGCCCAGGCCTTGAAGTGATTCGCGGTGGTGACCGTGCCACTGGACCGCTTGTTTTGGCGGATGGACCAGTACTGGTTGAAGGTGGCCGTGCCGATGATCGAAGGCTGGTTGACCTGTTGGTGCTCGTAGATGTCGTAGGTGGATCCGTCGCTAGTGACGGTGCCCTTGTGCGTCATGCCCGAGCCAGGATTGTAGCTGCCGTAGTTCTCGAGGATGTAGTATTCGACCAGGGGGCTGGTAGTCCATCCATACACGGAGAGGTAGGCATTTCCGGAGGGATTAAAGGAGCCAGAAAAGGTAATGTCACTAGTAAGGAAGTTAGTACTTTCCCCGAGACTTTTTACCGGTCTCCGGCGTTACCTACTGGTCACTGCCAGGATTCCAGCCCTTTCCGCAGGTAAAGTCACCACCGTTCTGGTTCGCCCAGCTCACGCTATATGCGCCACCAGCGCCGTTGGTGTATTGCACTGATCCGGCACCGTTGGTCCAGAAGGAATAGTAGTAGCCGTTGTTAGTGCCTGTCTGGCTGGACGTGATGGTCTGACGTTCCGCCAAGTTGACGGACGTGTCACCTGGAAGAGCATATGCGCCGGCGATAGCGGCGAGACCAAAGCTAAGCGAGGAAAAGGAGATCATTTTGAGACTTGATTTCAGGGCTCTAATAAATATAGTTGATGGTTGTCAAAGTGGTTTCCCAGGAGGGGACGGGTCTTCCTTATATGTTTTTTTCGGCTAAATTTACATATTTGCGAATAGCCTAGCTGAATGAGCACTCCATCCTAGGAAGTAAGCTTTGCTTGAATGATCTTTGCTTCTCGGCAATCATGCTTTCCCCAGACTTTCCCAGCGGCTAAAAGCTTAGCGGTTGGTTCCCCTCTGCTGCAGAACTAGCCCAACTTCGGCAGTTAACAATCTTCACGGAATCAGGCCCGACAAGGCGATACTTTTACCGACAGGCTAAAATGATGATCTTCTGACAAAACGTGAGAAGAACCTAGAAGAAGAGATGGCCTCAAGGCTGGTCACAGACTTACAATCTAGGATTGATGAGATGAGCAGCAACCCAGACTAAGGCTACTTTTATCAGCTAAGAGTCAATGGATACTTTTTCTGATGGATCCACTTGACCCTCTAATAATTCCGCTTTTCAGAAAAGGTACTGAGGTAGAGAAAAGAATGCTTCTTTGATGAAACACGTTGGCTCCAAGAAAATGCCCAGGCTCGGCTGCCGAAGCTTAGTTCTTACCACTAACTACAGTCTATTGATCCAAGAATATTCTGTTCGTAATGGTACTCATAGACGATGTTTCATAATTATTATTGTCAATGTTATTATGAGTCTACTAATTTTACCGGAAATATGAAGGAGATAATGGCGCTGGTGGCTTGTATAATAGCCAGGGCGAGAGAGGGGATGATACGTGTCCCTCGACTTTGATCGTTGTCCCCGATTAGTTGAGGATTATGGCTACGCTACGGAGTACCGAGTCAATGTTAATCATTTTTAAAATTTTAATAGCCAGTGTCAGAGAGTGAAACCCACTATTAAAGCATTTCCGGGGGTGGATTTTTGCCAGACGTTTCATGAACCACTAGTGGCATAAGACCGAGTCAGAAAACCACACCAGTTGGCCGCACAGTGATAATAATAGCAGAAACGTAGATATTCGGGCAGTTTGATATATGATTAAGTAGACGATTCGTACTTTCTCAAATCCATGCCTTTACTTCTCTATCTTCATTTCCAGCATCTCGGCTTCTAAGCCCCAAAAATAAGCACCCCATCCATGCATACAGTCGTCAGCAAGGTTCTCACCCTTAGTCTCTTTGTGCCAGATTTAGATAAGATAGGGTACTAATGTTTCCGGAGAGCTGTTTGCAGTAATCCAGCCGGCGTTCAAATCTGACGACTCATGGCAGATATCTACTTATTCCGCTCTGCTAGCGGATGAGTTTCTTCGTCCTTCTGACGGACAATGAGGTGAAACAGGCCAAATGTAAGTGCATTGACGGCCGCATACACAGCTTTGACCAGAACATGTTGGTCATTGCGGACTTCCTCCTCTTCGATTTCGGTCGTGCCATCCGCCGCCAAATAAACCGTGTGGTGTCTGGGCAGATAGCGACCTGGATTGAACACATTCCATAGGAAAGAGTTGACGAGCATGAGCGATGCCTCAAAGACATAGAAGAACCACTCATATCGCAAAAGGGGGCTGAGAGTTCCGAGTTCTTCTGGATCACCAAGATCCACCGACGTGTTGCCGACGTGTTCCACCAGGCGGTAGATGCAGCGGACCAGAATCAAAGCCATGCTGATATTTAGCGTAATAAGGAGAATCGGAAGAGACCTGCGACGAATCTTTGCTTTTGCGCACCGCCATTGGAAGGAGCCCGCTATTGAAACGAATGCAAGTACCACGCACAGCTGAAGCGCGAGTGCGACAAGGATCAAAGCTTTCCCAAACCCCTGCTGGCTGCCGGTGGGGTCGGCGTTGAAAGCTACCCCTAAAGCATTCAATGCCTCCACAAGCGCCATTAGAGCACCGAAAATGGCTAGAACTTTGCCGGGGGGAAGGGGTGCGAGATTTGGGACGTAGTAGAACATGCGGCCGAGAACGTGGTAGTTGGCGAGTTCGAGCAGCGGACTATAGAGTCAGACAAATTCAGTCAGCACCAAACCAGGATTGATCTAGACATTAACTCACGGGCATATATAAATAAAAACCTGGCTGAGTATATATATGAGGAGATTTTGTGAGCTGTATGCGTTGTATATATAGTGCCCGCGGGCTCCATATGCCCGCATTGCATATCCAACTGTAAACAGTACTGCACACAGTGGGTGCAGCCCGATCATTCTAATGCATTTGTAGCGGCTAGGGTAAGAGTCAGCAGGTCTGGTTAGACGGAGTAATATCACAAGCGCTCGGGGCACGTACAGACATTGCCAAATATGGCCAACGGCTGAGATAGCAAAGGCGATTGTGAAGAAAATTGGGGCTCCCTGATTAGGAGCATGGATGTAAAGACTTCCCGGAACTAGGGCTGGTCAGTACTCTGGATTGCTATCACATACATTAAATAGTGGAGAATCTCGACCAAACCCTACCGACTTGCCCGCTTGCCATCATGTATGGGACTTTGAATGAACGGCAAATTTTCAATAAAAGCCGAATAAGATTCTTCTCTTGTTATTTATTTGACACTGGACCATGCCGGCTTATATGGCTATCACAAGTTGCTCTCCAAAATGCATCATGGTCAAGAGACGCTTTACCGAATTAGGAAAATAGAGACGCCAAGACGCTAAATGCAAGCGCTGACGATCGTTCCGAGGCGGTTGCCAACTCAGGACTTACAACAACTGTTGATGTGACTGGCGCTCATCTGATTGCACTACTCTCTCGTGCTTGCTACGGGTAGAAAATCATGGTAACCGGTCCCCGGACTGAAGTCTTTTATCATTCCCTCGCTTGATCGTCTCCGATCAGGTGTATAGACAATGGAGGATCGAAAGCGCCACTGTTGGGAATGTCTCCGACAGTCTCTAGTTTGTGATTTCACCCGTCCCGAATGTAAGCGGTGTTCTACCTCCGGGATCGTCTGTCCCGGATATAATGATACAGAGCCTTTGAGGTTAAAGTGGCTTGCCCCTGGAAGGGTAAAATCTCGAAATCGAAAGCAGGCGAGCAATCGGACAGAGAACCTGGCGAGGGCCACGGCAGAGCTCTCCGTTGTTCCCCGTTTCGAGCCCATTACTGACGCCCCAGTTTTGGCCCAGGCAGCCGAATACTGCAAGTAAAAGCCATATGTAGCGCCATAATTAGAAAAAGACTAACCCCGGGACAGTTAACGCCTGTATATTCCCCGACTTGCTCCCCATCAATGACCTTGGACCCCACAATGGCGTTTACAGGATCTCATCCACGCTTCTTCAGCGAGGGGCTGCGCACCCTGAATACTTACGACTTGGTATCGTCTGTATGACCGTCAGTCATCGAATGAACCAAACGAGGAATGACCCTGCGTCTAATTCTCTGGCGGTCGCCTTTTACCGGTATCGGGGGCTTGTCCTTCAGTCTCTCAGGAGCGATATTAACGAAGGACAGAAGCGTACCGGCGATGTCGTCCTTGCCGGAATAATCACGCTTCTACTCATTGATGTGAGTCGATTTTCAGTATGAGAGCCATCCACCGATGCTGAACCGTGTTTTGCCTCGCTAGGCTCAGCAAGGTGCCTCTCCTCATTGGCAATGCCACATCGAGGGTCTCCAGAGCCTAATCAAGCTGCGCGGCGGCATCCGTTCACTGGCCAGGTCGGCCAGCTTAGCGCCACTACTCCATTGCTTTGTGTTGTACGTTACTGTGCATAAACTGTTTGGTTTGGGGTAGCATTCAACTGACTGCCACACAGCGTTGCAGTTATTGGGAACTCTTCATCGCCCGCTTCGCACTTGGCAACAACTACTTTGCGCCTTGAGGAAACTGACTTCATACTAGAGGAGTTTGGCAATGGACTTTTTGACTTCCAGATGTGTCCCAAGCCCCTGTTCGCCGAGATTATCAGGATCAATCATCTTCGTGCGCGAGCCTGGAAACAAGGCCCCGCAGGACTAGAGCATCTCGCCCAACAGGCATACGGAGTCCTTAGCCGTGTCAATATTTTCTCCCCTGAGCAATGGGCTGATTCCAAACCGTTGTCAAAAGAGGACTGGAGAATTGTGGCAGAATCGTACCAGGCCGCCGTGTCATTATACTGCGTCCTCTCGCTGCAGAGCCTGTCGGTTCTGCCTCTGACCCCCTTACTGAGAGCCAGTTGTACCACCCATGGACAGCTTCTGCAGAAGCTGCTCAAAGAGGCCCAATCATCCCCAAGAATAAAAAGGTTCACGCTTTGGCCGTTGGTCGTGCTCGGGGTGCAAGCTGTGAATGGTGGCGCAGTGATGCGAGCTTTTGTTCGAGAACACTTGCCAGAGATGAGTCGCCACATTGGCTCATATGTCCCGCTGACGGTAAAAGCCGTCCTGGAGAAATTCTGGGCTTCAGGCGAGACTCGTTGGGATGCTTGCTTCGACAAACCCTACCCCGTCGTGACGCAAATCGCGGTGGACCTCAGCCGGTTGAACCAGTAGCGCAGCTCGGTTGGTACGTCATCACGGTACTGACTATCTTCTTGCCCGGTTTAGCTGGATAGAAGTATTTGGTGCTGTAAGCTGGGCAGGGCTCTTCATCAACAAGGTCGTGCTGAGGAATTTTGGAGGCGGACAGAGCCGGAGGGATTTTGGGCCGGTTTGACGCGACGGAAAATCATTCTCTTCGCCAAACGGCTTATTGACCATGCTCCGATCTGTATGAGTCGCAGGCATAAACATAGCGATGTCACCTCGGCTTTCATGTCAGATTTGTCCTCGGAGGAGTGCTGGACGTCCACGGCCGTCAAAGCTTGGGCTTTCGGTCATACTCATTATAACTGTCATTTCACGGATGAGAGAGGCAAGGTCATTTTGGCCAACCAGAAGGGCTATCTGATGTTTCCCCGAAAGTCTTTTGATGAAGGAAAGGTATTTCAGCTTGGCTACTGATACCATCCGAGCAATTGAGATATGGAATGTACACAGGTGTATGTGCATCTAGATTCTGGCAGGTGTACTTCAGCCACCTCGCTTTCGTGGATAGAAGGGCCAAACTCCCTATACAACGAACAATCTGACATTGGGAGAAACTCGATAGTGGTTGGTGATACCACGAGGGATGTTCGAACTAAATATGTCGTACCTTCCGTGACGTTGAGCACGCATCAACAACCCACTGTCAATAGCTACTAAACGAGATAAATAGGGCCAGTGCAGGAGACATCATCTGAAAAAGACCCACCAAGGGCCTGAGCCGGACGAGTCTTTATTGTAGCATGATCATCTCGTCCGTATTCCGTACACAAATTACCAAACACAAATGTGGCAATTGCCTGCTTTGTCAATGACAATAACTCAGCTTCTTTCAACAACGGTCGCTTAGCTCAGTTGGTTAGAGCGTGGTGCTAATAACGCCAAGGTCGCGAGTTCGACCCTCGTAGTGACCATTTTTTGATCTTCATTTTTGTGACTCACCTGGAGAAGGCTAGTGTCGGTTGCAATTTTATGGACCTTACCTTGTTTATTGTACATCAGAATATTGCCCATGGAGATGGAAGACGAAAGAGTGAATGTTGTCCGTAACTAGATCTAAATCGCTGGCAGTGTACGCGATTGCCGTGGTATGCCGGCTCAGGACTCGGTGGGGTCAATGGGGTTGCTCGACAATGAGGCTCCACAGGTGCCGGCGATATGGATCATTTACAGATCTACTGAGACTATGTGCGGCATGAATATAGATATACAGAAACATTGAATATTTCTAAACCGCCCTTTTCAGCTTCACTCTCAGTTTATCCGTCTGTCGGGTAAGAGCACCAGCATAAGGCACCGCATCCGGGGCGCTACAAAATACATAGTATGTCTTTGAATAATTATTTGATGCAATCAATAAATCCAGGATCAGACATCATCGATTATCAATTTGATTATAATATGCTGATCGTGTGACATGACATGTGATGCTTGACTCCAGCTGCTGTCTCATAACCGTGGTTCGGCCAATGGTTCTCAGCCATCCCGGTCGATGATTTCATGACCTTCGGACCTCGAGTCAGACCTGAGGACAGCCAAAATAGTTAAAAAGGAGCTCTGGAAGTGACGAATGTAATTATGTACACAAGGTGCAAAACATCTCATATTCCACTGATACCGAGCTGACCGCACGCACCAACAACGTCCAAAATGGCCTGGACCTCAAGAGATGCGCTCCGCCCTTTTCTCTTTGTCGCCCGTCTGTTCGCATGGATAAGTGCTGTCATCGTCATGGGCGTCACTGCTTGGGCCGTGACCAAGGTTGATGGCTACCGAGTGGTCTATCCGCTGGTGATCGTACGTCTTTCGCGCCTGGATGATAAGAAATAGGGTTTCTGACTCTGGCAGGCTGTGCTAACAACAGCGTTTTACATCCCTGCGATGGTAGTGTCAACTATGAAACGTAACCGCGGATATATGCTGCCCTTGGACATTGTCTTTTCCTACTTGTACGCTTACATGCTCCCCCTGTTTCTTGAGACGTGAGTACTAATGAGTAATGAACAGGTGGCTTGCAGCATTCATCTTCCTTGCCCAGCACGTTGGGCAGCTGAACTGTCGATGGTTCGCTTTCGGCGTATCAAGCTCCTGCACCCGCAAGAGAACTGCCGAAGCCTTCTCCTTCCTGGCTTTGTAAGTTGCTAGCTGATGTGTGGAGTGCAGTCAAATGTGCTAACTCAAGTGCGCAGCTTCTGGATTCTCTGCGCCATGTGCTTTGAGATCTTCAATTTCTACTTTAGTGGAAAGGAGGGACCAGTGCGCACCCATGCCGAGAAACCTCCCCATCCCGAGACTGGCCGTGCTCCTGCCGATGCACCAGCAGATGTTGCCCAACCGGCTGCCTAGATGACAGCTTAATTATTGACGTTTTCAGGATTGACTTGTCCTCGGCGTACTGCTGTACCTGAAGGCCTTGAAATCTGGACTCGTCGCTTTGAATTCATATGGAACGTGTGCTTTGATTGATTTGCGCTGCTAGTCCCAGGATTTTAGTATAGGCTAATCACGAAAAGGTGATGGTGTTCGCGTATGTTTGGATAAGGCCCATTAGTATTTAATTTGACTACTTAATATTGAGACAGTTTGTTATGGGAAGTTATAAGAGGTGAACTGCCTAAAGCAAATTCAATTTAAATCCTGCGAGGCAAGATAACTAGTTGTTCTGGGATCTGCGAATGAACTGGTTGGTTGACTCGCGTGGAAGAATAAGTTTGGCTTTGGCTACAAAGTCCTTCAGATGATAAACGTGCTGACGACTGCACCACTACCATGGATGAGCCAGACTCGGTTCTTTTCTTGTGCCATGAGTACCTGGCAAAGAACTATATTCCCTACTTATGGTAACCCGGCGAGGCCTAGAATTGACAGTCTCAGCATCTCTCCTGAGTGCGTAATGTGCTTACGATTTTAGTCCGCAATTCGGCCAAGTGGAGACCCGCAAAATGGTCTGGATTTGAGAGTCGAGAGTCGAGACCACAGTGGATAATGGAGGCAAATCACGTTGAATTATTGGTCCAAACAATTAAAACAGCTCTAGTACTGTGCCAGCTCCCCATTCAATTGGCTGTGTTTATGAGGAAACATAGTAGGAGCCCTCGTATTATGTCCTGAACAGCATCAGCCTCGACAGATGTAGATGCGGCCTACAGAACGTCGAATAAACCTCCACACAAGATCAAAATGGACCTAGTCAATGGGAACAGGGCTGAAACACGCTATCCACGTGCATGCGCTGACCGTTTTGATCAAGTGTTCGCAAACCCCGACTCCACTATGGGATATAAATGTAGCAGGGACAGGCCGCGACCATGTTGACTGCTCATGCAAAGCAAGCAGTCCTTACAGCTTTATTCTCTTCGTAGAATCATTCTTTAGACGAGGTTGATCCTCGCACGATCCTTTCTACTATCAATTGCCATTGTGCCACAGTCTATCCTTAAGCCCAACACTCCTTTCAATCGGTCAACCACCATGTTCTTTTCCAAAATCCTTTTCCCAGCGGCCTTTGCGCTGACTGTCTCGGCCCTCCCGCAATTTTATCCTGGTGGCAGCTTGACTCGGCCTGGTGCAACTGCCACCTCCAGCGCAAGCATCAGCACTACCTCCACCTCCGCCAGCACCAGTGCCAGCCCAAGCGCTACAACCAGCAGCAGCAGCGGCAGCGTCCAGATTGTAAACAACCTCGACTCCACCGTCTATCTGTGGTCCACCTCCGATACCTCCAGCGCCATGCAAACCATCGCCTCCGGTGAGACCTGCTCCGAGACCTACCAGACCAACTCCAACGGCGGCGGAATCTCCATCAAGATGGCCACCACCGAGAGCCAGGCCAGTGTCCTCCAGTTTGAATATACCAAGGACAGCGATACGCTCTACTGGGACTTGTCGGCAATCGACATGGACTCGGACTCGGAATTCATCAAAGCGGGATTCTCGGCTACACCTAGTGACTCGAGTTGCACATCCGTGACCTGTGCGGCTGGCGACAGTGACTGCAGCGAGGTGTATCAGGAGTCGGATGATGTTGCGACGCAGAGCTGCTCGGCTACTGCGGGAATTACGGTTACATTGGGCTGATGGCCTTTCGGACCGCATGTATTCGGTGACATTCATTGCTTCGATTGACAGTTTTATCAAGTAGGGGATAGAGAAGAGTAGGCTGGTCTTGCTCGATCATAGTGAATGTTTTACTGGTATAGAAAATGTATTTAGATGGGGCACATCTGGTCTACCGTTCATTCATGACGCTTACGTTATAGAATAGACTGATTTAAAATGAATCAGAACTGGTCTTCAGCAGTCATAGACTTCCGCGAGGGAGCTTCAAGGACAAGGGTTTACATGAAAATGTCTCACTTCAACGCTCAACCATGGTTGCGATATCTCAGGTCAGGGTCTAGCCTCTTTCTCTTTTATTTCACGGAGTGGTGTCTCTGCAAATAAGTCATTGAAAATCGTTAAAGTAACTATGAACACGTGAATACACGGGTTCTGCACCTGCTGCTCCTGGCAGGCATTCCCGTCCATCCTTGTTCCCACACTGCGCAAAAATGCATCGCCACAGTACTCGAAGCAGCAGTCGTAGTCATTTTCTTCTTAATGGAAGTGTCGTCTACGATAGAACCACAGTCACCATTGCATGCCCAGGAACATTGACAGTAGCCGCTCCTCCAGTAACTGACACGGTGGTCTCGCTGATATTATTGTGGCTGTTATCCGTGAGGTATGCCTTGGCCGAGCCAGCAGAGAACCCCTTGACGGTGACTGATGTCGCCGAAGACGCACTATTGATCATCTGAACCGCAACGGTGCCATCCTTATTCTTGAACGCAGTCATCTGCAGCGTCGAAGTAGACCCCGAGACGGCCACGCGCACCGCTCCAGGCCGTACAAACCGACTCCACTGCGCAATCGCCCACAATCGGCCGGATGGAATGATATTCGTTCCGTCGGTAATCACCAAGCACGAGTTCGTGGTACCTTTCTCGAAGCCCTCCCAGTACAGGTACGCGCTCACCCCGCCCTGCGTGATCGCAGTGTAGATCTTCTGCGCCCAGGTGAAACCCTCGCCTTGCCCCCCGTTGGAGTACCAGGTCGTTTCCCACGTGCCGGCGTCCGAGAGGTCTGCGTTCTCGGTCTGCCAGACCGGGATGGATGCGCCCATGGGGCTGGTCGGATCAGACGAGTACGAGTGCGAGGTGATCCGCGAGAGGAGCTTCTCGACACTGGCGGAGATGAGTTGTGCGGTGCGAGTTTTCTGCGCGGCCCAGCCCATCGCATCGCAGCAGTTGATGCCCACGCGGCTCAGGCCTGCTTTTTGCAGGGTGGGATGCAGCACCCTGATGAAGTCTGCGGCCTGGACCCCGTCTGACAGCATGGAGGAGTATGCTGTCCTACCGTATTGTCAATATTACACGGCTGCCGAGCAAGGGCAAGGGAGACACACTTGAGATCCGGCTCGTTCAGGAAGCCCACGTGCGTGATATCCAGTCCCAACGCCGCATAGTCCTGGATATATTTGACCAGGTAATTTGCATACGCCTGGGTCCAGTTGCCGCTCGCGCAATTCGCTCCCGTGACTCCACACAGATAGCCCCCGTTGGCCTGGTCATTGTTGGTCTTCATGAACCCCGGGGCACTCCACGCATCCGCGTAAATGGTCTTCACGCCGTATTTGACCGCCTGCTGCGTCACCCATACCTGGTTCGAGTCCGTGCCGAGAGCTATATACTGCGGCGTGGCATTCGGGGAGCCTGGGGAATTTGGCAAAATGCTGTCGCTGCTACTAGAGCCGATGCGGTTGCGCAGGATGGTCATACCTGCTCCCTTGGTGGGGCTGAAGAGGAGATCCAGGGCGTATTGACGCTGGTTTGAATTGAGATTGTACAGGTCGTTCGCGCGGCCGAAGGCCTGTGAGAAGCCGAACCCATCCATGGTTTGGAAGGTTTGTCCTGTGTTGACGGTGGCCGTCAGGGCGTTAGCCGCAGCGGCCAGGCCAGCTAGAAGAAGGAGAGTCATTTTGCCGTTGCCTTGCTGTCCTATCCCAGCCATGAAGGTAGAAGGGAGTTATGGCTTCTTATATCTATGTAGATCCTGTAGATCCTGCTGGATTTGTCACGGACGGAGCCCCGATTTTCCGAAACGGTCTTATGAAGAATTGGCTCTATGGAGAAACAGAAACAGGCTCCTGTGGGGTAAAGCTTGAATGTCTTAGCCAGCCAGGATCCGGGCTCCACATTTGATTGCACAGAATCAACTTGAAACCGGAAGCGAGGCCGTGCAACTCTTCAGATGAAACACCGTTTGTCGCTTCGGGATTAGAGTCACGGATAAAATGCCATGGAGGGAGCAGGCTGTTTCCCAAGAACCGGGTAGAACAGGCTGAATAGCCTCAATCACCCCTTGATAGCGGGGTCGACCAGTTTCATGCAAATTGTAGAGCACCGCATGACAACCGTCGGCATCTGCAGAAAGCACTAGCGGATAGTTCACTGATACGACGGTGGATATAAGTGTGGTTCAAGGATCGTCCGTCCGCCATCCTAGGGTTGTAGTTCATGTCCAACTCTAACTCTTTTCCAGTCTATTACTATCCCTAAGCTTTATCTGATGAGAGCATGCCACCCCCAACAGGAGACTCTCCTTAAAAATTGTTATCCTGTATTTAGCTGCCTAGACTAGCATATACTATCATGGATAACTCACCAGCTTTGCTTCAGGGCACTGTCCCTTGCATATTTACTTCTGCATTTTGCCTCATAACCGGCCCTTTCTAGCCGAGGAAAAGGGGTCTTTTGAATTGACATTTTGTTTCGGTTTGTTGCCAGGGAATGAGACTGGCAATCGACTAATCCCCATTCGTCAAGGTATTACAACACGGTAATTTCTTATCAGCTATGCAGGGCCACCGTGGCGCAAATTGGGCGCACCGGGCCGAAGATCTCTCTGTGCATATCTCGTAAGTCGTAGGAGAGAGCACAAATACCTTGTCACCTGTGAGGCGGAGCTAAGGTCAAGTTTGCTACTTGGGGAAGGAAAGACCCACCATAAATATCCGATGTCAAGCCCTCAAAAGCAGAGCGGGTCTTCCAGCGTTCATATGACCCACATTTTTGTGAAGCCTTATGTATGAGCACCAAGCGAATGATGCTCGCAACCGAGAATGGGCCGTGGGAGAAAGAATATATGTTCCCCACAATCTATTAGCACTAGTTTCCGCGACTGTGGATCAGCATTATTGCCCTCACGGGGCTCTTCATCTGGGGACCGGGACAATCCAGAGAGTGATATTCGTGTTCATGAAAGGAGAGTGTCAACAATAAGCTGGCCGGATAGTGGAGTCAACGGGCAAATACAAGATATCGTCATCTAAGCCAGCCATTGACCATTGAAGAAGGAAGGGAGACGTATTTCTCTCCTAAGACAGCAAGGGGGATGACGGTCCCTCCAGCCTGTCGACTAGATCTGGTTCTCGGGACCAGCAGGTCTATCTCTCATGCGATGCAACTTCGCCGCAGGATCTTCAGAGATGTACACGAGCGTCTTTCCATCTAGCACAGCCATGGAAGCACAACAGGTTCAGCTGCCGAAATTCGTTGCCTCTGGGCCAATCCTTGCGGAGTACACCACACAACATACGAAAAGGCAGCGTTAGAAGTCTGTACAACAGCATCAGCAGAGATTCTGGCGTCGGCTGCTGCTCGAGTACGGAGTATACGCTGTCTTTGTGGTGTTCGTGTACTTTGTTCAAGTGGGCACCTCTGTGAAAAGTAACAGTATGGTGGCTTCACTGGATCCTGCAGCATAATGGCGTCTTCCAGGGCGGCTGGGCGATTGTCATTGATCTCCTTGTATTGGAAGTCCCATCCGGCTACCGGATATTGTAATTCGATGAACGTAGCTCAAGGTCGGACAACGATAGCTATTTGTATATCCCACTGGTTAAATGGTGCAGCAAACGCGATAAGCAGGCAATTGCTAGACCGATCTTGCCATCCTGATACCTACGGATAAGCCTATTCTCGCCGTCCCCGCACATGTACTACCTATTGCCCATGGCGAGGAGATGGAGGCCCTGGTGGAGCGGTTAGTACTCATAGGCGAAGTTATCTCTCGTCACAAAGAGCACCATGGGGCAGCACTGGAAGTCATAGTGACCGGACACTTCAACCGACATCATCTTCTCTGGGGTGGCAACGAAGTCATAAGACAGCGGAAGCACCAAGATGAAGCGGACCCTATCATCCATTACCGAATTCGAAGTCGTACACACAGTGAGGGTTTTCGAGTCTGTTGCGTCCTTCGTCTCTGTGTTGTTTGCCTTCGCCGATCCTTGGTAAATCCCTTTTAATTGCAAAGTCAATCCACATACACCCGTAATTGTACGGATGGGGACTATCTAGGCAACAGGACGGAGGTCAGCTCGCCCGGTTAGATCTTTCTAATGACTTCGCCTTTTTCTTGGTGGTCTAAATTCTAAAATTGTCCTCAGTTTTCACGGCCCCTAAACCAACTTTAGTACTCATACGTGGCTCATTCTCACATTGCTAGCTAAGTTTGAGTATATTGAAAATACCTAATGAAGGTGCGGTGTAAGAAAGACCTCTCACTGTATTTAGAACATGTGTAATGGTATGTAAAACGCAAAGTTCCCCACATAATGGCAGATTTAATTACCGCCCCCGCTTTCCAGCCTGTTCGTTTTAACTTTACCGTCGGCTAGTTATATTCCGCTTCCCCGCGTCCAGGTCTTTATCTAGCCGACTCACCTTCCCCTCGACTGCCTCCAGGAAAGAGCTATTCAAGCAATGTCGCCAGGTGTTCGGGAAAATGCCGTCAGATTCCCTCGGCAAAGGGTACGGTTGCCCTACCCGCGTTCAAAGTCTGGATGCCTAGTGTGTCGGCGTCAGCACAAGAAATGTGATGAACGTCGTCCCGTATGTTCTCGCTGTTTGGCAAAGGGGAAGGATTGCCAATGGCCAGTCACTGTTCAGCGTGAGGCCGATTTCGACAAGTCGCCGTCTTTCAATGACGCTCAGTCTCCAATCCGGGAAGGTCCTTCTGATCCTAGCCCCCGCAGGGAGGAACCCTTCTCTCCGACCTCAACATCCAACGATGCTGTAGGGTTTGACGATGAGGGCCTGCGTTTACCTGCACCTCCCGGTTGCTCCCTGGGCTCTGTGTCATCCATGTTTCTAGCCCACTTTGTCAGCGAGACCAGCAAATACATGACTATTGTTAGCCCGGAGAAGAACCCGTTCCTAACGCATATTCTCCCCCTGGCTTTCTCCGATGAGTTGATATTCCATTCATTACTCGTTCTTGGAGGGGCGCACTTGGAAAGTAGACAAGTCTCTCCGGAAATCAATACATGGGTATGCCGACACTATGGACGCGTCATACATCTCCTACAAGACATCATCTCTCGGAAATCAAACGAGTCAATTGATTGGCTTCGAGCCTTTCTTGCTCTGCTGATGCTGTACCTTTTTGGGGTATGTCCATTACCTCCTATTCAATCGATCTCCTCCAAAACCCTTGCCGAGCGTGTAACGACGCCAGACTCTGGATTTCGAAGAATGGCGCTTATAACACTGAGGCTTGACATTACAGACCTGACTCTTTCTTCGCTAGGTTTTCAATTCCATGCAAGCTGGAGGTGCAATTCTGCATATTCGAGCAGGGAAGAAAATTATTCCCCGACTGCTGAGTGCTTCGACGAACACGAGTAGTATGCGGACACTATGCGGTGTAACATTTGAGTTATATACCTACCTGGCCCTTGTAACCACCCCTACACCCTATAACAATGGGACAGAGTCCGAGCTTGATACTCGCAACTCTCTTCTGCTGTCTTGGGACCTACTCAAAAATTACGGAGTTTTTGGCGTCATTGTTTCTCCGATTCATCAATGTTTGGAGATCATCCCGCGTGTGGTTGCCCTTTGCACTCGCCGCCAAGCAGAATTGACCTTCAACGAATGTTCTTCGGACAGCTTGATTCTTTTCACTGAACTGATGGACATTATTGACACTATAGGTTGTGAGGATGATCTCTCCGGATCCGCGCTAAATCTTGAAAACCTCCATAGTCTCTCGATTTCAGCAGTTTATCGCCATGCCCTGACAATCTTCGCATACGATGCTATGTGGTGTGGTACTATCGCCGGAGACGAGACCCGGCTGTCAATCGTTCGCCAGCATGCGCTCAGTGCGCTGACGCATATACCAACTTTGATGGACACGCATCACAGGAACATTCTTCTGTGGCCAACTATCGTGATCGGGTCCTGTCTCCTCAATGAAGGAGAACGGGATATAATTCGATCGGTATTATCTATTAGGGAGCCGGTATTTGTGGTTACGAAGATGGGGATGATGCTCGAGAAACTCTGGGCTGAGAATGACCCTGCCTATTTTGGACCCTATGGATTGCACAAACATATGCTGTCACAGGAGACTTTTATATATCTTGCATGACGCGGTAGTTCGGGTCGATTATGTCGGCACAACCATTATAACTCACCGTGAGAGATTAACTCAATGGGAACTGATAACTTCACTTATGGGGAGATGGTCTATACACTGTTGATTATTTATATGCCAAGTTAAGGCTGATCACAAATTCCATCTTCTTTATAAGTCGACTTGCAGTCCATGTAGACACACGACAGTCTCAAATTTCATTTCCACTGGAGCCAAATTGCGATTGAACAGAACTTCAACCTGACTGGTCACGTAAAAGACCGTGGGGACACCGATAAGTTGCTTTCGCTCTGAACCAATTCGCCAAGGAAATTGACAGAACCAAACCAAAGATCACTGGTGCCCAGTTCATAGTATCCATCGTCACGGGCATATATTGGGGGAAGCAAACAAATAAGGCACTAATTATCATCCAGCATATTGCCACGACATTGACGACGGGACCAGCGGCTCGAAGATTGAAATATCTGTTGGAAGGGAGGTTTCGGCGATTAGCCAAAAGCAGACAAGTTGGCATGGCATAGGAGGTGGTAAAGCAGACAACCGATGCGCCAAATAGTCCGTTCAGAACAGTGAGAGGTGCAAAACAAAGGAGAGAGAAGGCTGCACACGCCATACATGATGCAAGTACAGCATTGAAAGGTGTCTGGAAACGACCGTTGACTGCCGAGAGCAAATTTTCTAACGGCAAGCCTCCAACTTTGGCGAAAGACCAAATAACCCTACTGCAACCGGTGATAATGCTGATCAGGCCGTTGAGGGACATGGCCCAGTATATGAGGCATACAACAATAACGAATGCTTTTGATGGCAAGGCGTCCCAGCATATCTGAAGAATCGGCATACCCGCCAATGGTTGGAGGAGCTTTTCTGGATGGGTAGTGCAGAATATTAGGGAAGTGACCATTATCAAACTGCCAGTAGCAGAAAGAATTGCATTAGCAAGCATGACAATCGGCACCTGTCGCTCTGGTTGGGGAAGCTCTTCCGCCATGTGAGCTGCTGTATCAAATAGGCAGACAGTCATCATGCCGGGGAGGAGACCGAGAAAGAAGACCAGTCCATCCGACGACCAGCCAGTCGCATTGACAACATCAATAAATGCTGTCTTTGCAGATGCTTTTGGGTGCACGACAGCGAGCAGGGTAATGCAGATGAACAAGGCTGCGATATTCAAAAAGACCACCATAAAAGCCGTCAGGTTTGGCACGATATTAACGAGCAGCGTGTTCAATATGAATGCGACAATTAAGGCAGCAATGACTAGAAGAAATATTTGCCACGAAGTAGGCTCGTATGTGTCGGAAACCAGCTGGCTAAAGCTGACAAAAAATTCAGCCGCGAAAACCGCGGTTCCAGCTGAAGCGAAGACCCATCCAAATATGGTCATTGCGCCATTCAAGTAGCTGAGAAAGCGCGCATATTTGGGCGGACTTAAGGTGGCAGTCCAATATACCTGTCCTTAAGATGGCGAAGATAATTAGCAAACCCACAGGACTTAATTCTGGCGGATCCTCACCAGAAGTATGCGGATAGGCACTTGACAGTTCGGCCAAGCTCACAGCCACCAAAAGTTGGCCAATTACTGCAACTAGGAAGCCCCAGAAGTAGAAAGGGCTACCTCCAACCCCCGTTATGAGAGTGGTATAGCCGGCAATTCCAAGAGGTGCTGCGGTAACGGAAAATTGAATGCCTATGGTGCTCCACAGGTTGAATCGATTCCGGTCAAGCTGCGTCACCTCATAGATCTGTCCCTCCCGCCTTGTCTCCACAGTATCGAGAGCTGATTGAGGCTGGGCTTTTTCGTCAAGCATCGCGGCGGTCATAATCTTTTTGTTGTATCTTTTGAATTCTGGGCTCCTACCACACTTGTCAGGAAATGTTCGTTGTCTAGAGAAGAGTTCGATAAGCTGGCAATGGTGGTAGGAATATACAAGTAGGCTATGACTATCTAGGGAGCGGTAGGCACATATACTCTACGAAATAGCTTGAAATGTGCGATGGGCCGGCCTGATTCAGTCGAATTTTGACGAATGTACCCCGCCTTTGAATCAGTAGGCTTATCTACGCGCCAGAATGTCATTATCAATTCCCTTTATGACTTCTATTTCTAGGTAGCTCTAAGTTAGATTTTGTGGGGTATGGGGAAGGAACCATCATCAGTAGGGACTCAGCCGCAGCGTGGTGGCGGGGCGAGAGTCAATGCTTCAACAATAGAGTTCCATGGGAGTCACCTGAGACCTAACTCTTGTTGTCATCATTAGACAGATTCTGGTCTCGTCCCAGGTACCATCCAATAGACAAGCATCCATCGCTTCACAACTCTATTTGCAACGGCCACATAGGTGACTTCCGGGCACCAATAGCAGTTCGCCTTAGAGCGCGTAGATAAAACTTCTTGAAGTCCAGGATACCAATGCGGGGATTGAGTTCGGCGCCCATGAAGAAATTATAGATAGTAGAGCCCGACAATCTGTGGGTTCGCCCAAGCACCATAGCTTGAGTGCAAACGACAAAGCTATTCAGGAAGCCTGACAAGATAGCGACACTCATAATGGGTCCGAACTCGTCAATTAGCGTGTACAAAGGAAATACACGAGTAAAATGCAGCACAGCGGCGATGACAAGGGTCGCATAGAAGCTGCAATAGGCGGAGCAGTAGTATGGATGGCTTTTTCCACCTTCGTGCCGCAGTGGGCGACCGAAATTCCAAACACCAGGCATATAATAGTACATGACTGCCTCTAGGGGGAAAATATCCAGTATACTGCCCATGCTTTTGCAGATGTGTAGGCCCCCCCGTAAAACCAATGGCATAGGTGACAGATAAAGTCAGGCCAGGACTGGCCGGGGTCAGGGAGAGGAATGCCATCATAGTTTGTTGCACCAATCCACATGTACCACATCAAGAGAGGAAATACTGTCATCAACAACACAGCACCGACTGAACCACCAAACTTGAATTCATCTGATGCACCGTCCGTGAATCTATGTGTGGTTTTTCATGCATTCTCTTCCGCCCGTTTAGGAGGTAGATGAGCGGCAATAGAGTTTCTTTGCGTCATGGCCATTTGGAGCAATTGATTTCGCATTTGAGTTGGACTTTGGGCTGGCGGTATTCACAAGTACTTGAAAGATTGTTTCCACAGGCGTAGCTCTTCAGGGGCATCGTATGATTCCTCTCAGATTGAGCCATGGTCCTTGCAGGACCGAGGAACCTCGGTTCCTTCGCACCCTGAGCAGCAATACCCTGAGTGCGCGGATTCAGCATTGGATGCCGGGCCCCGCGGAACCCGAACTTCAGGCAACCATGGATGTTTCCAATCTGTTTCGAAGTACCTGTAGGATCGAGCGGCTAGATAATCGACGATAGCCGCCGCCACGGCAAGGAGGCGTATGGGTACAGTCGGGCCATCATTCGTGTCGGTAACAGGAATTCGACCATTGCCTAAAAGGACGGCCTGCAGAAGAACGACCAAAAGGATAATACGATTATCGTTTATTGGTAGTCAAAGAGCGAATTGGCTGTAGATCTTCTTTACATTGAAGCATTGAAATTCATATCTGGCATATATATACCGTACATAAACCCAAAGAAGAAGAGAATTTGCAGTTTTGTTCAAGATACATTTATTTTCACCACCGAGGTCATCATATTTGCGGCGATGATTATTCTTCAACAATTGTCATTCTCGACTGCCCTTGGGGCAGTGGTTCTCATTTGTGTTTTCCGATGGATTCTGACCTCATTGATGCATGCCCAACGAGCTCGGCGAATGGGTTGTAAGCCCGCTTTTGTCCGACCGAGCAGGCTTCCGTTGGGTATTGATATCGTGAAACGCTATATGGATACAATGCGGGAGCAAATTCTCCAAAATGATGATCTGGTGCTCTACGAAGAGTTGGGCCGGCGCCCGACGTGGAATCAGAATCTCCTCGGTACCTGGCACCACGTCACAGCGGACCCAAAGAATATACAGGCTATACTTGCGACGCAATTCAAGGATTTTGAGCTTGGCCCTTTCCGGCGTAATATGTTCAATCCGGTTATTGGGAAAGGCATCTTTACTACCGATGGAATGGATTGGTAAAGTGCACCGTCATATCGAAGAGGTCATAGGTATTAATGTTGAACATAGGCAACACTCTCGCTCCCTCCTTCGTCCCCAATTCACTCGAGGTCAAGTTGCCAATCTGGAGCTGGAGGAACGTCACGTCCAACACCTCCTCGATCGGCTCCCAATTCAATCCGACTCGTGGACATGCACCGTGGATTTGGCGCCCTTGTTTTTCAATCTGACTCTTGACTCCGCAACTGAATTTCTCTTTGGACAGAGTGTAAATTCCCAAATTGCTTCATCGAAAGAATATCAGGGTCTCAAGCCTGGGGAATCTACACAAGATGGTCTGCCCGACGGATACTCCTTTGGTCAGGCGTTTGACCGAGCCAATGGAGTGGTTGCATACCGAGGTAGGTTGATGAGTCTGTACTTCCTCTACAATCCGGCACAATTTCGCAAAGACTGTGCAGAGATCCAACGCTTTGCCCGTTATTATGTCAACCTTGCTCTTACTGGGGGCCTGCAGTCGGGGGAGGACAAATCAGCCCCAGGGGACCAGAATGACTCTGGCTATGTATTTCTTCGGGAAGTTGCCAAGGAAACAAAAGATCCCGAAGAGCTTCGTACCCAACTTCTCAACATTCTACTGGCAGGTAGAGACACTACTGCAGGTCTTCTAGGATGGACGTTCTATCTACTCTCTCGTCATGTGGATGTTTACGAAAAGCTGCGTACCGTTATCATTGAAACATTTGGGGGGTTCTCCGGTAACACGACTATTACTTTCGAGTCCCTGAAATCATGTTCCTACCTGCAGAATGTTTTGTCTGAAGTTCTACGACTCCATCCAGTTGTCCCTGAGAATGGCCGCCGCGCGGTCCGAAACACCACGCTCCCTCGAGGAGGCGGCCCAGATGGTACATCGCCAGTCTACATCCGCGCTGGAGAGGAGGTTGCCTACAACGTGCATGTTATGCATCACCGGAAGGATATCTGGGGGGATGATGCGGACGAATTTCGCCCTGAAAGGTGGACCGGACGCAAACCGGGATGGGAGTTTTTGCCATTTAACGGTGGACCGAGGATTTGCTTGGGACAGCAATTTGCCCTCACAGAGGCTGGATACGTCGTCGTGCGGATGCTTCAGCGATTTGACAGAGTGGAAAACATGGACATGTCAACTGTTGTCAAACATAAATACACGTCGACAACTGCCCCAGTTCAGGTCCTCGTGCGGCTACATGGCAGTTCCCAATAGATAATTGATAGGCTCTCGTGGGTAAATTGATCATTTTCTCGTTAGATTTCTATAGACTGAATCATATTTTTCTGGCTTGGAATCGCGCACGCAGTCGCAGTATCACTCCCGTTGGATAATGTTCTAGCCAGTATCCCCCAACCGGAAAGTGGTCTTCGCAAAAGGCTGTGGTGGTGCCTAATTTGTCTGATTACGTGGTTGGAACTGCGACAGGCACCTTGTCTTCTATTGAGATAAAAAATGCCACCGCTTGTCGTCCGAATGACGAGGATTTTGAACGCACAATTACCGTCTTGCTACTAGACGACGTGAGAAATCTCGCTGCACCGTCTTGAGGTCATGGGCATCCAAATATTGCACGTCAATTTTTGTATCTGTTGGACTTTTTAAACTAGAATCAGAGTGGTCCACAATGCAGCCTTTGCAGTGCCCCGGGTGCTGGATGGGGCAAGGCCCTGCGCAGAGCTAACGGCATGAGGAATCATATGAAGTCCGGAAAGGGCGATTTTGCAGCTGAACATCATGTACCCACAACACAGGGTCACTCTTTTCTACTTCCAGAGTACGACCCAAAAATCACTAGCCTTGTTTCTGATAGAGAACAACAGTTATTTAATTCAACTTTTGGACCAAGGCAAGATTCTACAGAAGAGAGGGAATTAGACTGGTGCTGACATGAAGACTATTTCCGCTCATTCAATGACCGATTCCGTTTTATTTACGTTTACAACATGTAACACAGAGTTTGCTACTATAGCACCGTCTCAAACTCCAAAGCAATTGGAACAGTTGCTCCGAAGATTTCTGGGACTCAAAAAACGCCCCGCAGCGAAGTCGGTCGCCAATCTGCCTCTAGCGATCTTGAAAAGTCACACGGAAGGGAGACCAGCTAAATTGAACTTATGATCTGTTTACAATTTCTGGAACTATCTTGTTTCAGACGCGTGTGAAATTCCACTTGATGTGGACTGGATCCTGGAAACAAATACATGGAAAGGACACCATGATATCATCCAACAACCAGCATCCCTAGCCGATGGCCAGTCGTTCTCGTAACCACAGATCTGGGGGAGGCAACTTCAACCAAAGAGATGGGTCCGAGAAGCTGGAACACAAGTTGACGGGTAGTCCGGCGCAGGAATGATGGCAAGGCAGCAAGGAGTCCTCCTAGGGCCAAACAAAGCAGCGCCTAGATAAGAAAACAAACCAGGTCATGTGAGGGTTGAAATGACGTATCACAGAAAGAAATGAGAGTTAAGCTGGGAATGAGAGCGGTTAGCGATTAGATTAGATATCGGGTACTAACCGCTCGGGATAACAACACACCGGCTCTTATGGTCAATGGAAGAACGGAAGAGAGACCGTTATGTTGGATTGGGGGTTTTGCTGGAACACCTCTTGTTGCCTTATGAATCTTGGCTAACAATATGATGTCCATTATAAATAACATGTACACCTTCACCGAATGTCCAGTCCACAGTCCTCATACATCAGGCTATTTACGTGAAGCTTCATTTGACCCTTCTAGATCACCAAACTTCATTCGCCATGACTCCAGTCCCCGTTCCTCGTGTGTCGGCAACAGACGACCCAGAAATAATCACCCAAACCTTACGCCAAGCCGGTGCCCTGATTGTCGAAGGACTTCTGTCTAGAGACCAGGTGCAGGAGTTGAACCGCGAACTAGAGAAACCGCTGGAGGCCATCACTTCGGGCTCCAAACACAATGTCGAGAAGATCCAAGACTTTCATGGCAGCAATACAAAGCGCCTTACAAATGTTACAACCCACAGCAAGATTTTCCGTCATCAAATCCTTGAGAACGAACTGGTTCACGCCGTGGCTGAGAGGCTCTTCCACCAAGACTCTGGAACGTACTGGATGGGTGCCGCTCAAGTGATTCAAATCGGACCTGGAAACAAGGCTCAAGTGCTTCACCGGGATCAAAGCCAGTATCCAATTTTTGATCTTTTGGGCGCGAAGGCACCGGAGGCGACTCTCAATTTCCTCATCGCCCTGACGGATTTTACCGAAGAAAATGGCGCCACCAGAGTTATTCCTGGCTCTCACATGTGGGAAGATTATTCCAACATGGGATCACCCGACCAAACGATTCCTGCTATCATGAAGGCTGGAGATGCTGTCCTAATGAGTGGCAAGACCGTTCATGGTGGTGGTGCCAACAAAACTAAAGACGAGCACCGCCGTGGCTTAGCGTTCACACTCCAGTGTAGCTATCTGACACCAGAGGAAGCGAATCCGTTCATTATCGGATTGGATACCATCAAGCAGCTATCTCCCAGAGCACAGCGGATGTTGGGATTCCGTTCGCAATTCCCGAAGACATCACCCGGTCTCTGGCAATCCGACTACTCGGAGATTGCAGACGTTATCGGTCTCTCGGGAGACGATCCCGCCCTTGATCGCTTGAAACAAGAAATGACAGTGACGATCTGAGTCGCAAGTTGGCTGTACACTGTGCGGGCGGACGTAACCTCAAATGAAGACTTTAGTTCTTTCTGTGAGGTGGGATATAAGGTCGCCATTACATGTATTATGTCAGTCAATCTCGACGATCATACTGCGTATAAACTGCATAGCGATGGACTTCAGTAGCCCGAACAATTCTCTCCTCTCTTTTGAAGCTGTGGACTCATTGAATCAATGTATATCTGTCTGAATGACCATAATCTTTCATAAGTAGACTGCCAGACAAGCTGTTCCCTAGCGCAATTAGCTGCATGGTTTGCATCAATAAACTGTACCGAGGAGTGTATAAGTTCTCCAGTAATGTAATTTCAACTGAGCTGACTCGGCAGCTGTGGCATTGATTTATGTTTTAAATTGATACTATTTTAACAACGACACAATACTTACACATCCCTTAAGCCTAGATTCTTGGAATTGGGAGCACTATATAACTTTAGACAAAACAGCTTTCTCCCCATCGTTCAGATGGTGTGACAGCTAACCCTAATCCTTACTGGAATTTTTGCAACCTACAGTTTTGCGTTCGTATGCAATGCTTCCTCGACAAGGTCCACAGCAGCTTGAGCACACCCAAATGACGACTGATAACCAGCTCCACCCGCGCCGTAATTGTGAACTACCCATGTATCGCCGATGCGCTCCTTCTCCACCCTCGTTCCCCCTTCGCGTACTGGTCTCAACCCTACTCCGTGCCTTAGGATATCAAGATGTTCAATCCCTTTTCCGCCAGTCAGCGATGGGCATAACTCGACCGCCCTTTTCATAATTCTGACAGCAAGGTTTGGATCAACCTGAGAATCCCAGTTACCCTTCTGATAGGAGCCTCCGAGGACAGTACCACCACCTGCAGCCCTGGTCATAACGTAACAGATTTCATCATCTCCATCATCAGTCCCGGATATAGCAACCATTTTGCCCGCATCATTCCGGACCACCACAATCTGCCCACGAGCAGGTACCACTAACTTGTCTTCAACACCACCGAGCCGGGACGCCATGAGACCAGTACAATTGACGATTAAGTCAATTGAACCTCCCAACTGATTACCCATGGAGCAGGCATCCAACACATGTTTGAAATCAGCACGTCTGAAATCAACGCCATTTTTCAGGCATTCAGAGACAAGCCAAGGAAGATATATAGCTGTGTTAATACAGACGGAAGTAAAACTAGTACCTGAGTCCACCCCAGGGCTGAGTTTGTTTTTAGGAATGCTCCGGAACTTTCAGTGAGTTAGTAACCGATCTTAAAGCAAGGTCTTGGCACCTGGGGACAAACAGAACTACTACTCACGTTGGGGATAATGTCCTTGAACCAGGGATTTGGGGCCAGCAACTCAGAAAACCATTCTGCTGTGGCGGAGCCTTTATCTTTGGGTCGGCTATAGATCTCACATTCTTTCCATACGATCAGCAAATTATCTTGGTAAGGACAATTTGGTACAGGATTTGCGCACCTTGTAAATGTATGCCTGATTCCGGACGGGTGAGCGCTAGATCTAGCAGCCGTGCCCAGGTCTTTTTGTCCCATTCTGCCGCTCTAGTTCCACGTATTGAGACCCTAGCCATTCCTCTTGTGAGTCCGTGACTGCCAAAGACGCACATATTCTAGTTCTGCTCACGGCATGTAATTAGCTCCAGCCCATGGCGAAGCATATTCAATGTCATAGTCGCCGGGCATATGCTTAGCAGCTACCATAATCCGGTATCCGCTACGTTCAGATAGGATGAGCGCGGTAGTGAGTCCGGCAACCCCTGCCCTATAAAAAAATAATTAATTTGTCTTGCTATTATTGTCACCGCTTCGTTACTCTCTTACCCAATGACGACAATGTTCTTCTGTGACATACTTCAAGTTTGGCGGTATCTGAATTATAAGCAGGCGATAGATCCGGAATATCATTGCCGTGGAGAGATGCGACAGTAAGATCTCCCAGTCTTCGGTTCAAATGCGGTAGGTATCTTTGGGTACGAAGTTACATCTTAGGTCCCCGTCGGATCTATAGGTTATATGTTTGCTAGCCCTGGCTGAGACGAATATTTCTGGAATTTGTGGTTCCAGAACCGCTAGGTAGGAGCATCGGAAGTTGCGCTAAGACGCCAAGCGTTATCTAGTCGCTCCCACCATTAGCTGCCGCTTATCTACCCGGCGTTATTTTACACATCCAAGGCATCTACACAGCCGAGTTTGGTGGTGAGTCCGGGGAGGGGGGGTGTAATGGTGGGACTTACAAGATCAGGTGTCGTGTGTCAGAGAAATATAAAATCACTTCCCACGGCATGCAGTGAAAGCGATTCTTCACCAACCCAACAATCATTATCCTCGTTGAACTCCGTGACCGAATTTACTTCAATATGGCCTCAATGGATGCAGTGCTAGGAGGGTATGAAACCCGGCAAGCCGTGCTTGAGGCAAGCAACAACAACCCTTTCTCTCAGGGAATTGCCTGGGTCGAAGGCGACCTATTTCCGTTGGGGGAGGCACGCATTCCACTGCTCGATCAAGGTTTCCTTCATAGTGACCTTACCTATGACGTGCCAGCTGTCTGGGATGGACGATTCTTCCGCCTTGACGAACATATCGATCGATTGGAGGCAAGCTGCAAGAAACTACGTCTCCAGCTCCCGTTGCCAAAGTTAGAAATCAAACGGATATTGGTGGAGATGGTGGCTAAATCTGAAATTCGCGACGCCTATGTGGAACTTATCGTTACCCGGGGTCTCAAATTTGTCCGCCAGGCCGACCCGAAAGATATTGTCAACAGAATATACATGTTTGTGCAACCTTACGTCTGGGCTATGCCACCTGCTATGCAACGGACCGGTGGAAAGGCTATTGTTGCAAGAACGGTCCGCCGAGTCCCTCCTGGATCGGTGGATCCGACTATCAAAAACCTGCAGTGGGGAGACTTGATACGTGGCCTGCTGGAGGCCGTTGATCGGGATGCTAACTATCCTTTCCTAACGGACGGGGACGCAAATTTGACCGAGGGGGCTGGCTATAACATTGTGCTTGTTAAAGATGGTGCCTTGTATACTCCTGATCGGGGCGTGCTCGAGGGCGTCACTCGCAAGACTGTCATAGAACTTGCACAAAAGAACGGCATAAGTGTCCACGTTCAAGTTGTCCCAGTTGAGATGGCCTTCCAAGCAGATGAGATATTTATTTGCAGCACTGCTGGAGGCATTATGCCCATTACATCCATTGATGGCCAACACGTCAATGGGGGCCAAATCGGGCCTGTCACTAAGCTTATCTGGGATGGGTATTGGGACCTGCATTACAACCCTTCTTACAGCTTTGCAATCACTTATGCAGACTGCAAGAGAGACTGTGAAACGGTTGTCTGATGCCATTGTTGCATAAGTCATGACTCGTCTCAACATTCTTTGTCAGCCGAGATAGCATCTGCGCATCTTTTGGAATATGCTGCAGAGCTTTCGAAGTGTCTCTGCCATTTTTATTTATGTATACAGAAAGCCTATTGCTATTGCGGCTGCCTATTTTTTTGTGAACATGCTATTCTACTTAGCCCCTCGTCTTTTTATTGTTAACACAATTAGTCTGTGAGCTTGCATTGATTGACCAGCAATGTAGCGCACCTGCACCCACAATATGAAGGGGCCGCCCCATAGTGGCACTATTGACCACTTTTCCTCTGTAGTTCTGATTGCCTAGTATCTTCAATCATCACGTTATATACTTATTATTGGGCTAAAACAACGTTTTGGATAGCACGCACAGCAGATCAATGTGGTACGTCTAGTGCGTTCGAATCCGGTGCGTCAGTGAAAATTATACCGAATCTATTGGCTTCCGACAGAGGAAGCAAATGCATGGCCATTACATTTTAAGTTCTGCTCTACCAGGGATTTGATAAATATTACTTTGAAGTGGCCGATAGGATGCGCCTTTTGCTAATGATTTGTTAGGGTTTCGGATTCCGAGGACGCCGAGTTCCTGCTGGCCAAATTCTAGTGCTTGGATTTGCCTTTTCTGGTTTGTCGCCAGCCTTTTCCCTTTTCCAAAAATCAATTTGATTCTTAATTTTTGGTTTTGAGGACCTGTTGCTGCTACATTTATTTTCTTATGGTTACGACCGAGGCTATATCAAATCTGCCTCATGCTAGCACCACGTATAAGTGACTGCATTGTCACAGCTCATGATCATAAGCTTTCATACGATCAGCTGCGTGAGGTGGTTAGGCTGCTGGGGATGGAATTCCGTCCTTCCTAGATGAGCAGATTGATCTAATGTAGGCGCTGCCAGTCTTCGATTGACACGCAGGGAGGGCATACCCCCTACGTTGCTGTGTTATTTTGAGGCTTGTAGTGCTTTACATTAGCTGTGTTGACAAGGTGGCAATATTTTAGTCATCAACTGGGGAAGGAAGTATCACGCTAACAGTTTTTATGTATCCCGACCACAGTAAATCTTTGCCAAAATCGCACTGCCAGAGCTTCATGAACCTTGCCATTCTCATCATTCAACATAGGCCACGACGCAAGAAATTTGTCCACACACTACCGCAGAGGGAACCTCAGGAGTCACATAGAAATGATCAATCTGGTGAATGCGCAGGGACGATCTTCTCATCATTGTCCCCTTTTTTACCTAAGCTCCACCATGTGAAAAGTGCGCAAGACGGATTCCAGTTTTCGAGTGCCTTCGGCAGATCATCAAAAACAGAACTGTCTGCACAAAATCTATGTTTTGGCCGGTTGATCAACCCAATTAAATGCAGTCGCCAGTCATCCCATATCGGGATTCCAAGGCGTCGAAAGGCTCGGAAATCCACATATTTCAGAGGATGATTGACAGACCGATGACAACCGGAAATGAATCGATACGTGCCTATAGCGCCATTTTGTTGTCCGGCGCGGCGATAAATTATTTCCCAGTCTTTATCCGCGATTGGAGGGTTGGGTATGATTAAACGTGCCGGAGCAGTCGAGAGCGACTTTTCTAACGAAGGAATGGTCACCAGAAAAGGGAAACGGTGGTCGAGGGTTGTTGTCTCACTAGAATAAATGACACTCAAGCACTCCGCGATCGTTTTGAGTTCTTCGAGATGCCAGTTCAGCCAGCGTTCTTTGACATATCGCTCAGTGAGAGAGTTTTTGTCCTCTAGAGACCAGTCCCATCGTGTGCCGGCCGCGTGCAAAACGCAACTGAATGTCGCAAGCGTCCATAGAATGCGATGTGTTCGATATGTTTCAGCCCAGGAAGGAGGATGATATGTGATCCGGATGGGCTCGCTTTGGGGCTCGGATAATCTTCCCTCTATCCATTCAAAGGCTTTGCTGGGAGAGCCAACCACAAGGTGAGGCTCTGCGACCATAAGACGATCCAAAAGAATATGAATGCAAGCAGAAGCAGCGTGACAGATACTCGCCGCTACACTGACGGCTTTTCGCACGGCTCCAAAAGAATGGTCATGGGGGAGAGAAGGCGGCACACTAGATGTTATGTAAGCGCCATCTAGTAGCTCTGGCAGGCTCGAGGGAGTAAATGTTCCATCTGATTCGAAGAGTATGATATTGCGAAATTCGTACTGTAGTGCATGGGAGAGAATTGGACAATTCTTCATGACCCGCTCAGTGATAGTCTTGTAATATTCGCCAAACACTTCATTCGCTCGGGTGGACGCTCTGAGCAAGCCATCTAAGCTAGCAAAGTCGGTACAAAATTCAAGGACGGACACTATTACCTCTGGTGGGAATGTTGAGAAGGGATCCATGGTGAGACCAGAAATTAGAAATGAGGTCCGTAGCCGAGCGTGATCCGCACGTGTATAAAGTATTATCCATGCCCTTCTGCCCCACAACACTATCCCAACCAAAATCCCAATTGAGCTAGGATCAACTCTATGAGTCAAATCATCACCGTCACAGAAAACGCTGCGGGATTTTGAGATTTGATGCTGACAGATATCTTCAATTCAGTAAAAGTGTAGATATGTACGTCTATTCATGTGACACTAAGTTCAAATGACGAAACCCTTAGTATACAATGTGAGCATAATGTACCGGAATACTCCGCTAAAATATGCTTTCAAAACGTCTCGGAGACAATTATATCGTCCGTATCATCGAATGGGACTTAATCGGGTGGATAGGCAATTTCAAATCCTTACCGTATATTAGACAAATGCTAATGAACACTCTTGGTATGTACTACTTACACTAAGCACGAGATCGCAAATGACACAATTGTCTACATGTCAGCTGCAAATTCGCTCCAGTTAGCTTTGAAAATTAAGTGGAGACGCCAAGAGGCGATAGAAGACTGCAAGGGCCAGATCTGGATATATACACATGAAAGGCTCATTTAAGAAACAATCCCACTTGGTATAGACTGATTGAGATCACCCTCCTGCCCCGATCTCAAACACTCTCGGAGCTTCGGTCGAGGGACGCTCTGCCACAGGTACAACAGCACCAGCAGGAGTAGCATGAGTTGTTGATTCTCTTGTAGCTTTCGCTGGTACCTCCGACTTTGGGACCACATGGCTCCTAATAATGTTACGAGACATGCGCCTAGTCCAACCCCAGTGCTATCGTCAACTACTATTGCTTGTGAATCCGTGCAGTCTGACTTGTTTGCTTGTGCACCTCACTTGCAAGGAAAAACCCGATCGAGAACTAAGATGGAAATCTGGCGGAACGGGCTTGGTTGATAAGGAAATAGAACGATCGCTATGAAGACCTGAAGGAGATTTCAAGAGAGAAACCGTGTAGGGTGGGACCCATGACAGACGCTAATTGCTGTAGGTGGTCAGGTCAACACAAGAATTTTTTCTCTGCAATGCAACACCGCGAAGGGCCAAGAATGTGAGGTTGCGGTGCCAGGAGGAGTAGGGACAGCCGACAGGGTAGTCGAGAGCATCAGCTTGCCCATTTGCAGCTTGAATGCGTTGTCGCAGCAGTTGGAGCCATTGGGACTACAATGGTCATTGCCGGTCTCAGGACACGGCAGGATATGAATCCCGTAACTTCCTTGGATTGCTGTTGGCAAGGGTTGTATTAGCAGCCCATCACCGGACAGGATATCGAGGACAGTTGAACCGCACACATTTAGGACAGACTCTCGGACAGTCATTACCCTCCCACCGTAAGATCTGTGCACCCATTAGCGGGACGAGACCCGTATACCGTGAGACATGGGTCAGGCAAAGCCCGTTAGTCAGGCAGATACCACTGGAGTCTCCCTTTGATTTATGGATTGCGCAGCAAGGGCCGTTAATCTGGTCGGAAAGCAGGGCTGCAGCTCTACTAAGCCGGAACTGCCGTCTGTAAAGTAGCACTGTGTTGCAGCTGCATGAGGAATGGCAACGCTAGATTGTCAGTGGCTGCCCTAAGGGCTGGACTTTTATCTGGGATGTGGATATTGCAGTCATAGCAACAGCGCTTAAAATAGCGACTAGTATCTAAAATTATCAGATTACAAGGCCCTTATTAGAGAGACGACGAAGAGTAACGCCAGTTCTGAGACAGATGCACTGCTTACCAGGGAAAGCGGGCTTATAACCTGATAAGATGGTAGAATTTCATGGGAACAGTTCATCTCTTTGTACCCACCATTAATTGGATGCTACAATCAAGCGGAGTGGTCTAAGAACGCGGGTCTACGATTCATATAATGTACTTTATTGTAGAATTCCGATAAGTTCCGGAAATGTTGAAGTAGGCGCCGGCAAACGGAGTGGAAAGAGCTGTCACATGGACCTGATACTGGGCAGCCTTCAACAAGGGATCTTCATTGAGCAGTCAATAGTATGATGGCCTTAGAAGAGCTGTAGACACTGGCCGTAGAGCTCTACGGACAATGATCTGTTGCCCAAAGTCAAATTGTCAGATTCCCAGACGAGGGTTGCCGTGGTGATCGATTATCATGCAAGGCTGACAGCTGCCTGCGTTGCAAAGCATAAGAACGCAGCATCCCCTAAACAACTTTCCCAGAAACAATCATCAATATTCTGAGTCATTTCGCAGTGACAAAATGACAGATATCGAAAAAATCGCCAACCTCATTAAAAGCGGCCAGGTGCACCAGATCGTTGTGCTTGTTGGCGCAGGTATCTCTACTGCGGCCGGCATCCCCGACTTCAGATCGCCCGAGACTGGCATTTATGACCGGCTCAAACCCCTTAAACTGCCCTATCCAGAAGCCATCTTCCACATCAACTACTTCAGGCATACCCCCGAGCCCTTCTACGCCATCGCGCGTGCCAGGCATCCTCGCAACCTCAAACCGACCATCACCCATGCTTTTCTCGCTCTTCTAGCGAAGAAGAACCTTCTCCATTTTGTGTTTACACAGAACATAGACGGCTTGGAGCTGGATGCCGGTGTCCCAGGGGAGAAGATTCTCAATACACACGGGAGCTGGCGGACCCAGCGCTGCTGGAAGTGCGAGACTCCCTATCCCGATGACTTGATGAAACACGCAATCAATACAGGCACTGTCCCGTATTGTCAGGTCCCTGACTGCGGAGGAGCTGTAAAGCCTGACGTGGTGTTCTTCGGACAGTCTCTCCCTGCGGAATTCTGTGAAAAAGAGAAGAAAGTATCCGAGGCGGATATGATGCTTGTCATGGGGACGAGCTTAAAGGTTGCTCCGTGCTCGAGACTGCCGCGTTTGGCTCGTGAAGGCGTTCCACGGGTGCTAGTCAATCGCGAGACGGCAGGAGACTTTGGAAAGCGGGCCGAAGATGTGTACATCTTGGGCGAGTGCGATGATGGGGTGCGAAAACTGGCGGATGCCCTTGGTTGGACTGAGGAGATGGAGTCGCTGTGGAAGGCGGCCGTTGCGGCCAAAGAAGCAGCGCAGGAGGATTGGGGAGAGGAGGAGAGCCTGGACGAGTTGATCGACAAATACGCGGAAACGCTGACGGATGCCAGGAAGATTTCTGATGGCCATAAACGGATGTTGGAGAATCATCTGGAGACGAAGTTTGCCGACGTCCTAAACAAGAGCAGGTAGTTTAGTATTGGCTTTTCTTTTGATAATCCCCAGTATAATGGTCCATATGATCATGGATCTACCTATATACATGGATGCGGATACGAAATGGTCCTACTGGTTGGGTCGTAAAAATGAGTCATACGCTGAACTATTTAACCCTGTACTGATCTCCAACTATTTGTCAACCAACTTCAACACCATCCCTTGCTATCTTCACATTCGCATCATGAGTCGTTTGTCGGGTGCTATTCCTCGCCTTGGTCCTTTTATTCAGCGCACCTCAGATCCTCGCCCAGTTGTCCTGATGACATGCGCAGTGGCAGGTATGTACGTCAATCCATCACCAGAGATGCATCTGCCAACTCAACAGGATCTGGAAAGTCCACTCTCGCAAAATTGGTCTGCTCCGCCTATCCATCTTTCACACGCCTTTCCATTGACGCGTATATCTATTCTCATCATGGCCTTTACAACGTGGACTACCCCAAGGAACACTACGAGAAGTATCTAGACGAGGCTGAAGCAGCATTGAAGCAGCAACTTGTCCATATTCTCGAACATGGCAATTCGAACGTCATCCTCGATTTCTCCTTCGCATTCCGCCAAGTTCGGGATGAGTGGAAAGCGCTCATCTCGGAATCGGGTGGGCGCTGGGTGTTGGTGTATCTGGACGCCGATCCAACAGAGATTCGGCGAAGAGTAGCAGCTAGGAATGCATTGACTGAGAAAGATGGAGACTCGGCCTTCTATCTAACAGAGGATGTGTTGGAACGGTATCTTAGTGGCTTTGAACGGCCGGTTGGGGAGGGAGAGATTGTCATCAACGTGGATTAAATAGGGTCTAGCTGCTCATATGGACTGAGAAGTTCTTTCCACGATGATGTCTTCTCATATTGTAGAATTCGCCATCTGTGTCGTTGACGGGGGCTGAAATGCTACTTGTCCGGTTTGCGACCATACACCACCGAGACATGGATATAACCGTGGATGCTGGGATCGCGGATTGCCTTTCTCATCTCGGCTATTGTCATTTCAACCTCGACTCTAGAAAACTGCGAACGAGTCAGTACCCGCTAGGAGAGAATTAAGGGTGACAAGCACTCACACCCAGCACATTGGTCCACAAGTACATCACCCACATCTCCATACTCTCCTCGATCACCAACCGAAAGTATTTCCCCAGCGTCTTCAGGTGCTTATCTTTCGGCCACGGCCCAATCGGTAGTTTGTATCGTCGCTCGACCACCTCGATGAATCCGGCGTCGATCATGCGCTGCTTGGACTCGTCGACAATGCGAAGGGTTTTGCCGAATCGATCACCACTCTCCAGGCTAGTTTTGCCCCATTTCTCGTAGACGGTTCCAACGTGACTTCCGTCGTCTGATGTAGGCACAACTCCCATCTCGACCTGTTCGATATACCCGCCTGGTACTAGGTGTCTTCCACCACCTTTATTAGCACGCTAGACCACTCCAGAATTGGCGACGGCGTACTTCAGAGCCTGCTGGTAAAACTTATCCCAGTCGGCCACGGAACCATACAACCCCCGCACATGAATGTAGTCGAACGGCGCCCGGTACATCCACTCGTCACAGCAATCGTCGACCTCGAAGCTCAGGTTCGGCGGTACCATCCGCGGCTGGATAGGCGAGAGATCGGTCCCGATGACCGTAGCCGTGGGATACATATCCGCAAACTCAAGGGCCCAGGCCCCTGTCCCCGTCCCGACATCCAGAACTCGTTTTGGATTCTGCAATGGAGCGAGATGCAACTCGCCGTGGAGAAGGAGACTGTACAAAAAGTGGCAGATATCCATCGCATCTATCGCCTTTTCATCGTTCGACCCCCAGTACGCACCGGCGTGGTAGGCGTGGTACCGTCGCCCATTTTCGTAGATATAATCAAAGACACTGCTGCGGAGGGACGTTACTTCCGAGTCTGTCGCTGTGTATGTTGAAGCCCAGTCATCGCCTGAGTCAACGGTGATGGTTTCTGCCTCGGTGGTCATTTTCGCGGGGCGGTTTGCGGACAAATGATGGGATGACAGGGGAGGTCATTCCTTATATGCGGGACATATTATCGTCTGACGCACTAGAAGACCGAACAGGGATCTGTGTAGCAGCGTCTTGTCAGCGTGCAATTGCTGGCACAAGGAATAAATCGAGTGGCCAATCATGGCATTTCGCCGAGATGTCCGTGCCTCGCCGTTGTTGAACCGTTGATCCGCCATGATAGTGGGGTTTATGGCGCATTAAGCGTTGCAACGATAGTGTCGTTCCTTGTACCCTGTACACCGTGTGCCACTCGACACTTTGCCTAGAAAGTTTGAAGTCAGTCTCCCATTCGGATGCTCCATACTTTATCTTTGTACCCGAATGCCTCAAGTCCCTATGAGCTAGAATCCTTAGACGGATCTGACATTTTACTGGTGTCTTGAATGAAACAGCCAAGCAGGCGGCGCAAGGTAGTCGGTTTCAGACGAACCTGGCCACCGTATTTCCTGGCACGAGCTCAATCGACTCTCACTTATCATCTCAAACAGAGTGTAGCGCTTCCTTCAGATGAGGGGCAAGAGAACGGGGCAATGGCGACAGCAATGTTATGTCCAAGTTATCATTTTAACTCGACCTTCCCGGCAGATGCTAGCGTGGCATCATGTATGAAAATAAGAAGTCAGTCATCAGTCTCTCATCAGACTATAATCGTTGACAGTTTTCCAAGAATCTCTACAACTACAACCCATCTACCCTTACAATCTTCATCATGATGAACAACAAACTGACGCCAACTACCAAGCTATGCTGTCTCCAATCTCGGTATCTGATATGTCTATTCGCTAAAATCATTCAGGAAGGAACGTAGAGGAGATTGGAGACGAGATCTCTATCATTTGACTGTGATAGATAGAACGCAAACATGTTGCAGCCGAATGGCGGCGGAAGCTGTATCTGAACCTCGACGATATGGATATCGATGCTGAAAGGAGCACCCGCTGTGCCTAGCAGGCATCCAAGCCAACTATCTATCAGTCTACCCAGACTAGAAACCCCCTTCACCCATCGCTGTTGGTCTTTCCTGTCCTTGGGCTCATTCCAATTATCTTTCACTGAGTCCCTGTTTTACTGACCCTGGTCCAGGCACATCCTTATAATCCTTATACTGTGCTATATCTGGAAACTCCTCGACAGTGCTTGCGTCAATTTCGGTATCAGGCACCATTGTTATGTCGATTACAATTGTTTGTCCAATGAAACCAGAGTCGTTGAATATTTAATTCCATGGCATGTGGGAAGCTCAAATATCATTGCGTTGGTCGCCTTATATAATTAGGTCGCCCGCGGTGGACTTGCGTGGTCGATCAAGGAGAGTCGGGAACCCGAACGGGTAAAGCTCGTCAAGGACTATCTGAGTATAAAATCAGGAATTGTTTGGACTTACCAAGGCTATTCTCCACTCGTCTTCTTTCCGAGCCTCTTAAATATCAAAATGTCCCTTCCACTACGTACACTGGGCCGAGATGGGCCCCCCGTCTCTGCAATCGGTCTCGGCTTCGGGAGCATTGGCGGATTCTACGGACCAGCTGGTACCCTTGACGAGAGAGTTGCGCTCTTGGAGCATGCACATGCCAAAGGATTACGCTTTTGGGATATGGCTGACATATACGGTGACAGCGAGGAAGTCGTGGGCGAATGGATCAAACGATCCGGCAAGCGCAATGACGTCTTCTTGGCCACGAAGTTTGGGCTCCAGCGACAGGCTAATGGAAGGCACACTTTCCGTTCTGACCCCGAATATGTCAAAGCTGCATGTGAACAAAGCCTGCGGAGACTCGGGGTCGACACCATTGATCTTTACTACTGCCATCGGGTGGATGGAGTCACGCCTATCGAAAAGACGGTTGAAGCTATGGTGGAGCTGAAGAAGTAAGTCATCCAGCCTCGATCTGACGTAATATAAAGTAAGCGAGGTTTAACCTTCAATGTCCAGCCAAGGAAAAATTCGCTATCTTGGTCTATCGGACGTCTCAGCAGCCACGTTACGTCGCGCGCATGCCGTGCACCCTATTACCGCCTTACAGGTGGAATATAGCCTGTTTACACTAGACATCGAATCCCTAGCGTCGGAGATCCTCAAGACCTGCCGTGAGCTAGGCGTGGCTATCGTGGCTTTTAGCCCGATCGGGCGTGGTGTACTCACAGGGCAGTTTCAATCTCGCGCAGATATACCCGAAGGTGACTTGCGCCGCATGTACCCTAAATACGCGGAGGAAAACTTCCCAGAAATCTTGAAACTGGTGGACACCTTGAAGGATGTGGCCAATGCTCATGGAAGTACCCCGGCACAGGTGGCTCTTGCGTGGCTGCTGGCGACAGGACCAGATATCATTCCTATTCCGGGTACGAAATCGGCCGCCAGAATGGAGGAAAATGCGGCGGCTGCACGACTGCAGTTGAGCGACGAAGAAGTGCAAGAGATCAGATCTCTGGCGGAGAAGGTGACGATCAAAGGTCCACCCTATCCTGCTGCGTAAGTAATCATTCTTTTGTTATTATTCTTCTCTCCATAGAATGCTGACTGGTCGTATAGCGTGATGGCTACTCTCTTCTCAGACACGCCGCCGCTGGAAATATGATTAGTGGGTGTAAACAGGAAAATCTGGTTTTGCAAGAATCTCCAATTTATATTTGCCTTGGCTAGCAGTCTCAGGAATACCAAGCAGAACTTTATTGTCCAACAGAAAATGATGCTGAACCCTGAAATGGCAACACATCTGGCTGGCAGGTTGTGTTCGATGCAGGAAGGTGACCATCGAGGTACATCTGAACATGATTCAAATAGCACGATGAGAGACTCGCGATAGCAGTCGGCTGGTAAAGAGTCCATTAGTGTTTTGGGCCTGCTTGACAAATTGATTCACTTACGCTAACTGATGCCTGTCAAAATAATAGATCCAGGAAAGACCGACGACATTCTGTATGCACTGTAACATGATCAGCTCGGGCTGCTGGACGATCCAATATTGAGATACTCACCCTCTCTTCAGAGCGACGGGATCAGTCTCAATTGTGACAAATAAGATGGGAAACGAGGTCTTTCGAGTTTCCAAGATAGAGCCCGGTTCGAGGTTAGAAATATAAAAACAACTTAATATAGCTTATTAGTGCCCACCCCCACTGAGACTCAACAGACTAATATAACCTTGCGTACTGGTTGCAGGAACACAGGACTTAGGTATAGCCACTCATCTAGGGAATACTATTCTGTTCTCTTTTATTTAGTTTCTTTGGTAGTAAAGCCCCTGGTGAGCCTTAGAGGGTTGTCCTGTTATATAAGGACTTGTTACAGGACGTGTATGTAGAGAAATGAATATCTTTCAATTTTGCTTCCCTAAATGAAGAAGTATCCACGGAAGGTCGCGTAGCACTAGATATACATTGTTTCCTCTGTGCATGTGCGATCACGGTACTTGTACGTACTATATTGCGCTCAAAGTAATGCACTAGTTGACTGTGGTCTCAGATTGGTCTACTCACAATTTTGGTTGCATATGCTGTCGACCAGCAGGCAGTGATGCCCCTAGGCTTTGCTCTAACTGCGTCGGATATTGGATTAGATAGAAAATGGGGGAAAATGGGAAAGGAGGAGTATATGGCGCTGCAGAAATTGACTGCTAATGGTGTATAGTTTTGTTGATATAGCTTCACTTCTACAACTATTTGCCCAAAGTGTAACAATGTAATTGTTAATATAACAACTAGTAATTCTAACATAGACTATACCAAGATAGCTATTTATTTATTCTGGTTGTTATGTCAATTGCCAGCTTACTATTATGGTGTTTGGTATCTCCTTGACTATTGCAAGTGAGAGCCTGTGTAGATTAGATGTTGTAGCAACATACTTCAATACCCTAGAATAGACTAGAGCTAACTGAAAATGCCACTGCTAGTCAAGTCCACAGCTACAGTATGAGAACCTACCCTAACAGTGACTCCCATATGTTGATGTTTATCAAATCCACTACTAACTATTATATCACTGTCACAGTTACAGATGCTCCTATTGTTAGGAGACATAGTTCCTGAAATATTGTTCTCAGGCGCCACTTACCATTAAGGACAGAAGAATAACTATTTAGATGCAGCAATGAATCCAGCAAGGTACATGAATATAACCTAATGTAAAACATGGTGGTACCCTTTGAGGATGGGTTAGGTCAACTCGGAGCACTCCATCTGCCTATCTTAATTAGGCACTGAAAATTTCTCCCTGAAAAAAAAAGAGGAAGCGCTCCATTTCAAGCAGTTTGAAAAGGACTTGTTGTTTTGCTCTCCCCTACAATAGCCCCAGAGACCGACCGCGTAGTTGTCCGGGAGAAGTGAATTCAGATGGTCAATCAGGTCGTCAACATGCTCACCTACGCGGTTCATTGCATCTTCGTAAGATTGGTGGACTTTTATGAAATCTGCAAAATGCTGCATCTGAGATATCATCGTCGTCGTCAGTGCTAAGTAGACTTTGCACGAGCTGAGTGCCACCATTATCTAGGTATTTCTGGGCTACATATGTAACATCCCGGTGCAGAGTTTCCCCCAGCTTCCAGTTCCCTGAAGCAGGATAAGAAAACAGGAGTGACAGGAGAACATTTTAAAACTTGTACTTAGAGCTTGACTACAGCTCTCAAGATCATATACGAGCAGGGAAGGGAAATACCTCTATACCCCAATTTACAGGGAGCAAGAAGGTCTTAATATAAAGGGAAAAGGAAAAATAGAACAAATCCTACGACTCGGGTGTCGTAATTTGGAGAACTAGAAGGACCTGAAAGTGCTTCAGTGTGTCCGATTGTCGGTTGTAGATTAGAGTTTTACATGTATTCAATAAACCTCGACAAACTGAATTCATAGACTAGGTACTCCGGAACGATCGCCGTTTTCAGTATCAGAGACGGAACCAGTGACGTATGTAGGTAACCAACAGAAACAGATGAACACTATCTACCAGAGGTTACCAGGAAAAGGAGGGAGCGTTCTGCATGCACCAGCAGCCCTCCCTCTGTGAAAAAAGTAATTACGCTCTCGGGCACGCGTGATTTGCAGGTGTATGACGTCTGCGAACAGGTCCTTTTGCTTCCTTATCACGAATGTGTCTTGTAGTCATTGTCAAACATGGGTAATCAACGTAATCTGTGGGGCAAGCGAAGAATATGTCTCTTGATTAAGACAGCTTAGTTCTTCATCTGCTCAACTAGCCCTTTCTCTATTCAATCGGTAAGAATCCGTTAGTGCTGTATACGAACGCAGATTTCTGCCCAGTACTTCTTACATAAAGCTGCCAAAGGTCACCTATCTCCTCCCCAGTATGAGCTCAGCTAACACACAGCTTTGTCTGCCAACAGGTATCGCACTGTCCATTCCATTATTCCACAGCCGCCAGTGACGATGCCAGGCGAGGGCGGGTCTCTTACACTAGACAATTTTCAGGCTATATTAGGAACCGATGGTGGTACAACCAGAGACACCGCACCAGTACAGAAATGGTGCCGCTGGATGCCAAGATGGAGGCAAACTGACTATCATGAGCCACAAAATGCCATGGCCATGTACCCAAAGATCCTCAGAGAGGAGAAGAGGGCATTGCGACAGCTATACGCTTTTGATATGCTTGTATATACATGCCTGGCTCTTCAGCTAGTAATTGCCTCGACTCTGGTTATTCTCTCCGCAATTAGCGGAGATCACCATATTATCGTTGCAGTCCTAGGTGCCATCACTGGACTCATCACCGGTGTGCTGTCCTTGGTCAAGGGCCAGGGGCAGCCTATGCGACTGCTCAATTACGCCGATAGCCTCAAGAAAGTGCGAGATGATATCGAATTCTGTGAGAGTGGACTAGAAGCAGGGGTCACTTCTGTGACATACGAACAGGTTTTGGATATCTGGAATAAGTATACTTCTGCAAGGGACAGCCAGATGAGTAATCGCCCGGATGTGTGGGCCCCTCAGGAGGGGGATAGAAGAACCCCTTAACTCAGTGACCGACCGGAACAGGCTTTTTGTAAGGCAGAATAAACTGAGACCCTGTTGTGTTTGGTACATAAGAGGCAACATGCAGAACCCGTTGGCGACAGCTCTGATGTTGAACTTATTGCTAGCCTTGATATGATTCATCTAAGTGACGCTGCTTGTTGGTCAGGTTTACTTGAATTCTAATATGCTCCAGATTCTGTGTGTTTTCTGTCACATTTGTAGCAGCGAATTTAATAAAGGCAATCGCTATAATTCCCCCTGATGGATCCTCGTAAATCAAGGGAACCTGGAGCCGTGCGCATGTGAAGTTGTCGAAGCAAGGAGTCCACTGGAGATCTGGAGATGGTTTAATCTGATTTCTCCATCAGTTGAGCAATTCAAATGGCGCATAGAGTGGCAGGGTTCTCACAGACGGCCAGTCATTTACCATAGAGCGTGTTGTATGTGAAGGTAGTGCATGGGACAAACTGAGGAGAGCAAAGGAAGCAAGTCGAGAGAAGCTTGAAGACCTCATCATGAGGGATAAAGAGTCAAGCGGGTTTCAATAACAGACTTTAATGTGTGCTTCAGGGCTGGGAGCGAGGATGGTATCTATGCTCTGCTCTCCATCAATTTCTCTCACATAAAGTATATGCCCAAGCTCTGATGCCTAGTTCATAACTCCAGCCATAAAACCTGTTTCTGGCTGTTTTATTCTATAAATATTTCACCAGTTTGTGGCCGTTCATTGGACCTGCTGTGAAGCTCGGCTCAATGGCACGCCTGATCCTAAAGATAATTCGGCCAATTTTCACGGAAAGCTCAAGATGAACACGCATCTGAGTAAAGGAAATTATAGAATCCCCACGAAGGAATTCAGAGGGCCTCCACTGCAATAGAAAAATGAATGACAGAAGAGGTTCTTCTAGTTTGATAACCGCCCCACGCAGCTCAAAAGCAGGAAACCAAGGGCAATGCTCTCATAAATCCCCGGAATCCGTGAATGCAACGCAATTAAGCATCGTATATAATAACTTCTATGGTACACTCATCCTATACAGACAGAATAAAAGACTCTATCAAAGGCAGTAAAGCTTAGGAATTGAAAGGGGTCAAGGTGATGTCCCCATCGTAGGTACACTTCTCAACTATCCCTGCAACAGAATCATTGGTCGAGGTGCACGACCACCTTGTGCCCGGAGCACTGCCGTTTCCATTGTCATTGAGGGTGACGGACACTGTCTCGGTGCCCTTGAGGACAAGGAGCCGACCGATTCTTTTGTTCATGTAGAGATTGGGCCGCAGACTGTCACTTGCCAGGGAACAGTCACGTTTAAATTAGAGGCCGAATTCACCTAACGCAGCATGGGTCGGACCGCCGGGAAATAGCATTAGCCTTCCAGATAGGCACAACTCTGGGAGATGAGCCGTCACTACCTATTTGGGGAAACCCACTGGGCAGAAATCACAACATAGATCAATAGCCTCCGTGGTAGACCCCTGACTGTAACAAGCCCGCAGGGATTGGAGTAACTCCTGCATCATCTTGTAGGAGAGGTCGCACGGGTGATTGAACCGAAGTACCACCGAAAAACGAAATCATCTCCTTACAGTAAACGGACGTTAGGGGTAACAGATCTGCAACAACAGTACAGTCAAGGGAGGAATAAAGCACTTGAGCCCGTTGCTAGAGGTATCGCGACCGGAATAAGAGAAAGTCACAAAGGACCCGGCGACAACGCTACTATCTAAGCATTCGGCAATTATCCAGGTCAACCATGGTTGAGTACAATGGGTCATCGATATCAAAACCATAAAAAGAAGTCAAGGTTTTGCGAAACCGTCGAGGGACCACATCGTCGTGGCAGACAGCTGGAAACAGGTGGAAACAGGAGGCAGCCAGCCAATAGCCGAATTCTTCGTCACATGTTCTCGTGTGAGTCATGCCGCCGTGTTGTCCTTATTACTCCTTTCCTCATATCATGAGATTTTTGAGGGAGATAGTTTCATGACAGACAGGCGATTGAAATCTACAATCAGCGAACGCATCAAGTGGCTTCAGGAAGGTTTCTGTGCAAAAGCATCGCGTCGGCTTTTTACCTCAACCATGGCAGCCCCTCCATCGACGCCACCCCGTGTTCTCTCAGTGGCGACCTCAGCCTCGCATAATTTCTCCAAGAGCGTCGTCTCTTCCATCAAACTTATCGCCAATCTCGGCGTGGAAGGGGACTGTCACGCCGGCGAGACCGTTCAGCACCGCTCACGCCTCCACATCAAGCCTCCACCAGCAAACCTTCGCCAAGTGCATCTTATGCCAATGGAAGTGCTACGGGATATATGCGCAACATTGCCAACTGAGGAGATGAAGACGCAGCTTCTGAAGCCTGGTGCTTTGGGGCAGAATATCACCACCGAGAGAGTCGATCTCTTGAGTCTCGGTGCGGGGACAGAGATTCGTTTTGTTGGAGATGGCGTGGCTGCGGGCGACGAGGCGGTCATTGTCCTTACGGGGTTGAGAAATCCGTGTCCTCAAATTGACAAGTTCCAGGCTGGATTGAAGGATAGGTTCTTGGTTCGTGATGAAGAGCGTCGCATTGTCAGGCGGTTGGCAGGTGTCATGGCGACAGTGAAGGAGGGAGGACTCGTGCAGCCTGGAATGAGGCTGATCATCGACAAGCCTCCCCAGCATATTCCGTTAGATGCTGTTTGATGCGAGAACCACGGTCTACTCGGCCTGGCTGCTACGCCAGGGCTGGAAGTCGAAATGTGTTAGGTATTCTCTGTTTTAAACAGAATTCTATTCGCTCGCCTACGCTGAGCTACTCTACCACCACTTGCTAGACAGATCTGTCTCTCCGCACCAATAAAGTTTAGTCGTCTTCTTTATTTATGAAAAAGAACAAGGAGGACCTGAAATCAGAGAATACATTACCAATTGGCGTGCCGACCTGTCGTCCTCGCGAAGATTGGATGGCTTTGTTCTCACTCGACGTCGGTCGAAAGGTCAGCTGTGATGGCAAATTGTTTTCTTGAATTTGTTCAACCAATTCTGGAATTAGTGGCATTCTGCTCGCTGCCTTGGACTGTCTGAGCACACGACTTTGAGATTCATACTTTCTGTTCCGGTCATTCCCAATCATACGTGCGACAATTCCACAATTCTTCAGAAGAGTTGAACAGCCGACGAATGTGGGTCGTTGCCGTATTGCCCAGAATAAAACTGGCGTTGATAGCCGACACCAAGTGGATTGCGGTACTTTTGACACCATCTGTTCCTTTACGGTGATTGGGAGGGTCCTATGAGGCTATGGATCTATGCTCCATGAGGCCCGTGCCGAACTTGCCACTGTCCCAAAGATTTGAACGCCATGTCCAGTGAAGACACAAGACTTGTCACAATTGGCCGAGATAGTCGTGCCCTAGGCGAGATGTCGTTCATCTTGAGGTATCTTGAAGCGAGCCAGCAGGGAAAGGCGACAAGCAGCGAATTCTTTCTGTTCAGCTCGCCACCCGATTCTCGTACACGCGGACAGTATGCTCATTCCAGGAATATCGAAGCGACAATGGGAATCAAGAAGACTTCAGCTCGCGACAGGCGAGTTGCAATTTGTCTGAGCATCCGGCGTATAAATACCACCGCAAGAGCACCGCCGTGATGGAACAACAAACCCAAATCGTGCCCTGTCGTGCCCTTTCCTTCTTCACTAGTATCACCAGAAAGCCTTGCTCATATTTGTCACGATGCATTCCCTCGATAACGCCATTACTGCTGTTGACGCGGTGAATCATCTCATCGACAATGCCGTTGAAGACGGACATGTCGTCCAGACCCCTGCTGAAGAGGCGGAAGCTCGCGAGGCCAAAGCAAAGGTAACTACCATACACCTCTATATCTATCCACCGTGATACTTGCATGGCCCTAACTACCTACACGTAATAATAGGCCCTGGATACCCTGGGAAGAACCATCAGCGTGGTCGACTCGACTCTCGCCAAGCTGAGGAAGAACATCGCCAGCCGCCATGGAGTGACGAGCGGGCAACGCAGGAGATGTGTACCACCACCAGTACCGCTTTCGGCTGCTGTTCCTGATGGAATGGCGGCAATGGACGCTTCCTCGGATGGCAAGATTAAGAGTATTGTGGCGACGATGTCAGCTGAAAAGGGAACCGAACACAAGCCAACTCTGGCTAATGCCGTTCCTACTTTGAACGATATGGCCACGGGCGTAGGTCCTATTATGGACAACTTTGATAAAGTTCTGGTTAGTCTGCCATGGCTCCAGTCTGCAGGATGTCGGCTGCTAACAGCTCTTCTTATATAGAAACACCCCTATCTCGATCAGTTCAATGCGACACTGAACACGGTCCCGGTGGTCGGTCTGAAGGACCAGACCATCATGTACGTCGGAACGAAGTTGAATGCAAACCCGCTAGGTCCTCCCGTCGAGGAGTGGGCAGTCTTTTCCAAGCTCCCCCAGGGTGTCACGGTGGGACCGGACGACAAAGTCCACTTTTTCCCTTACAAAGGTGACTTCTACATGTCCATCGGTACTCGAGTCTGGCTGAAGAAGCACCGCCCCGGTGCGAGCGGGGGAGTAATGCGGGACCCCGAGTTGGCCAAGGCCGTTAACAACTGGCCGTTTATGTACCAGAATGACTGGGAGTTTGTGGGTGATCAGGTACTCCCTGTCGCTGATCTTGCCGCCGTGATGCCCTTCTCGGTGCTCTCGGCGGATCGGTCTGAGATCGCTTTTCAGCTCGTTCTGCTGCACAAAGACTCTTCGCTGCAAGTGCTCGCGGGGGATAGCCTGCAGGCAAATAACCAATACGCCAATTTGGAATTCGCACCGACAAAGGAAGCTCCCTCTCGGCCAGACTGGAAGTTAATGACGTACTGGAACAACCACCTCATCGGTTATGACTCAGAACAGAACTTCTGGGACTTGAGTCCCGACTTTACGGCTCGGACCTATACCATCTCCGATAAAGCAAAAGTTCCCGAACCGATTGTCGAACTGACAGCGAGTGAACAGGGTCCCATTGGGATCAGATCCGACGGGTCGATGTGGAAACGGCTAGTCCAACCGCCCAAGGACGACAAGGATCCCGGAAGCTACACTTGGAAATCCTGGATATCTTCCCACGGTGTGACGAGTATTGGCGTTGCCTCACCTGGTGTCCTTCTCGATTTGAACCTGCTCACCAGGACGCTGCAGTCTCGCTATATCGAGACGCAGACGGCTCTGATCCCGGTCATGAGCAAGATTCGCGCGTTCGGGCTGACACACAAGTTCTATCTGAAAGAGCTTCGCAAGGCCGCTGATATGTGGTTGAGTGAGCCAGGTAACCAGGATCTGGCAGTCAAGCAGGGACAGGGTTTCGTCCTGCATGCGCTGACGTGGGCGAATATCTTGGGCAGTGCTGCGGCAAACGCACAGGCTCCGGTCAATGTGATGACTGGGCAGCTTAAGGATGTCGAAAGGCAGTTGGAGATTCAGCTCACAATTCTGCAAGACAAGCTGAAGGGGTTGGAGGCGAGTCTGAAGATCAAGCAGGAGTACCTCAGCAAACTGCAGGCTGCGCTGTGGGGAGCTATTGCTGCCCTGCTGCTATGTAAGAAAAGCCCCCGCCAATTTCAAACCCATCCTTTTTCATCCCTATGGCTAACGATTTGTCCAGCCGTCGCCATCTTTCTAGTTGCAGCGGCGACGATGCAGCCCTGGGCGTGGGCAGCAGCAGGAACTCTGTTCGTTGGAGGCCTCGTCACAGTCACCATAATGAGCAAAAAGGTCGATGCAGCCGCAGAGGATGTAAAGGAATGCGAAGGGCAAATCAACATCACTAAGACAGCAATCAACGAATTGACCGAGATTGTGTCCAACTTTCAGGCCATCGCCACGCTATACGATACTCTGAATACCTTCTTTGGCCGGATGACCCTCGATGCAGGCGCCCTGAAGGACATGGATACCGCCACTGCCGCACAGCTTGGGGCCTATGTCCTCGCGGATCCTTCTTCTATTGATGCCGCAGCTGCGATGACGGATGAAATCACTGCAGCCTGCACGACCTACCTGGATGTGCTCAGCAAGCAGGGGATTATCCTTCCACCAGTAAATTTGATGCTCGCCTCATACTGCGCAGATGCCAAAGCTGCACCTGTGGGCGTAGCCTCGAGCGTGGCCACCTTGGACGAGCACTTTCACTCCACTGTCGCGAAAGCGGCCAATACTCTGTCTAAAGGCAAAATGGTCGACTACTTCGCCACTTTGAATGCGGCATATGCGCTGCAGCAAACCAGTCTCAAAGCTGAACATCTTCAGGAAGTCTCTACCGGCGCTTGGTATGATGTGCCAGCCCTCACCAACGCCGGAACCCTGTGGGCTGGATTCAATCCCCACGTCCAGCTACAGGGCGTCTCAATGCTGTCCCAGTCGGCGGGAAGCAATGCGGTTGAGGAGATCCTCAATGAAGCACGCCCACAGGTCATCGATCTGCTCCAGCAGACAGTCCTCCTCGCAAAGACAGCCGAGGCGTGGGCTGACAAGTATCCCAGCGCACCGACCGGCGACCAGTTAGCCGACGCACGGCAATATCAAGCGAAATCCATTGACGCCTGTCAGAAGGCTGAGTCCGCGGCTGCCCAGGCGAACAATGCATTTGTCGAGGTGAACCATCGTGCTCAGGCATTCCAGCAAGACCTCGACGTCCGCATTGGCGAATGTGAGGGCAAGATCAACAACGCAAAAGCCGTGGCAGAAAATGAACGGTCGAACATAAGAGTCCCGTTCGAGGTCGTATTTGCAGGAGGTATGGCTACAGTGTACTGGCTGGACATGAAGAAGAAGGAGATATCCGACAAGCTCAACGCCACCGTTAATGGTTTGAACGCGACAATCTCGAGCTTCGCCAAAAGCAAGGAGAGTGGGGTTACTTTCCAGGGCCATCTTCTTACATGGCAGGAGATGGTACAGAAAGTCAGCCACGATCTGGCGTTCGTTTATCATATTCTGGCGGGCGTTGAGGGTCAGTTGATGGAGAGCCCCGACTTATATCGTGAGTTCATCAAGATCGAGTGGGCTGAGCTGGCCAAAAACTCGAACGATGTTCTTACGGTTATCGGCGTGCATAGCCCTGAAACTCAGCCATTGGCCCTCCGTGCTAGCGATGCCGTAGCGAACGTGTGGCACGCCGATGCCGTTGCCAATGGATCGAACAAGGAGGCGCTGATTGCGGCCGTCTCGTCCAACACTCGCCTTGGAGGTGTTCTGGCCACTCAGGCAAAAGAGTGCAAGGACGCATTCCAGCAGATAAATGTTGTGCTCGGCTTGCCTTGGATCCAAGATATCGTGGGCTACTGGGACGACTCCAAGACTGAGAAGGCTACCTTATTCGACGTCGCCATGAAGCTGAGACGGCAGGTGAGATTTGTTCAACCCATCCAAAGCCTAGCATTTACTAACTCTGATTGCCGGCCAGTATGTCCAAATGATTGGCATGGAATACCAAACCGTCCAACAGCTGTACAGCGTCTCAATCCTCCAGGCCTTCCGCGCCGAGAACGTCCAAAGGGGCCGCCTCCCGCTGGGAGTCTTCCTGGACAGCACCCTCACCTCCATCCGAAGCGCCATGCAGTCCGCCCAGCACACTTCCGGACGATTCCAGGCACTCGCCGCAAACTTCGAATCAACCGTCGCCATCATCTCCAAGAATGTCGACGAGATCACAACCAAGATCGCCTCCATCAACACCCAGATCGCAACCAGCACCAAGGCCCTCCGCGACAAGATCATTGCCGAAGTCGCCGACGTTATCGCTATTGCCTTCGCCACAGGCGCTATGCTCGTCGCCTTTGGCGTTGTAGGCCCAGTCGGGGCGACACTGACCCTGGCGGCGAAGCTCGGAACAACCGCTGCATTGACGGCAGCGAGTATCAAGCTGACTCTTGATAGCCTGAGTCTCGACGACCTCGTCGAAACGATCGAGGGCCTCAAGTCTGTGCGGAGCGGGCTCGAGACCTCACGCGATAAATTGGCGGCTGTAAAGCCATTCTTCGCTAATGTTGGTGCGGGCGTGCAGGGCCTTACGGGCACTGTGGCAGAGATGGCTGCCGCGTTGCAGAAAATCAAGGATCAGATTAGGCTCTGGAAGGAGGTTTCCTTGACTGAGGATGACGTGGTGAAGATTTCGAAGAGCTGGAAGGGGGTCCGAAATGATTGTTTGGAGTGGATGGATATGGTCCATTCGCAGGGGATTACGCCTATGAATTTGTCGTTGGGGCCGGTTGACATGGGTGTTTGTGAATAGATTACACCTCCGCTGCTTGCTTGGATGTGAGTTGCGAAGAGAGGCAGTGCATATAACTAGCAATTTTCCAGCAGTTTGATATCGATTTAGTAGCAAATTCCATATCCATGGAGCTGATCATCATAGCCCTTAGTAAATGGAACAGTCACTGATTGAGTATCTCGAGAACCTGCTCTGAGGAGCAGGTATACCTGCATCACTTCTTCTTTCTACTCATCCTTTGCTGCTAAGGCCAAACTTGAGAGTGGTCCTGCTCGGCCTGCGATACCTAGTTCGTCGTCTCAATCCTCGACCTGCGGCTGTAGATGAGCCAGCTCTAATTCAGGTGCGAGCAAGCGATGGCTACCTGGTGCGATTGGACGCTTGGATCTGTCCCCGCTATGTGGCAACTGAGTTCAGCTGCTCTCTAAGGAAGTCGTGGTATATAAGAGCGGACTGAATTCGATCTGACCATCTGAAGCAGTAACTGATTCGACGACACACCCTTTCGGCAGAATACCAACCTGAGGAAAACATCATGTCTGAATCTATTATCGAGCTGTTTCTAAAAGACTACGAGTCCCATCTTTCCTTTTATGTTGGTCTTGCCTCCTACGCCGAGACCCGATGCCGCAAAGCCCTAGTGGAGAGTGGCATCCCCGCGATCGTCACCGCGCGGGCCAAAAGTCCAGAACGACTGTTGGCTAAGATTCGCCAGAGGGACGCTGCGAAAAATTACCAGTCTGCGGAAGACATTCTCCATGATCTTGTGGACCTTGTGGGGGTGCGAATTGCACTCTACTTCCCTGATCAGGAGAGCCAAATCGAGGTTATCCTACGCAGATTATTCGAAGTTAAGGAGGTGAAGCGGCACGACAAGACCCTTGTCCCTGTTCCAAACGTCGCAGTTCAATCCGACGCTCTCCAGTGGTCTACAGTGCCAGCTGAGGGTCCGTATGCGCCGCGGTTCCATGGATACAGGGCCACGCATTTCCGCGTCAAAGCCCGAGACGAGGACTTCAGCGGGCCCGACGACAACACCGCCCGTCGCCAGCAAACCATGATCGAAGTCCAGGTGGCCTCGTTGCTCATGCACGCCTGGTCAGAGGTTAATCACGACCTCGCGTACAAGACACTGAACGGTCAGCTCTCCGTGGACGAGCTCCGCGTGCTGGATGGGATTAATGGGCTCGTGCTCACTGGCGAGGTCCTACTCAGCCAGCTCAAAGTCTCTGTGGAAGCTCGTATCGCGGTCCAGAAACGGCCATTCTCGAATTACTTCGAGCTCGGCGCCTTTGTACAGCGATACGCTCCTTATCATCCCGCCGGGCCCGGTGGCGAATACCGCATGGGCTCACTCTCCTGGCTGCTGTATGTGACGCGGCATCTGGGTATCAATTATCCTGAGGCGCTGGGGGAGCGATTAGGACGTTGGTCGGCGGAGCCTGCGAATCTGATGAACTACCCCTTGGTCCAATCGATTCTGGACTTCATATTTGCCGAGTGGAATGCACGTGCTCCGCCAACTCTGGAGCGCCCGCTCCTTCAGCCTGCGTTGAATGACAAGTTCCAGTCGGGGATGCCAGCGCTTGAACAGAAATTGAAAGTGTACTGTCATATCCTGGCGTACGCATGCGAGGCAAAGCCGCTGCTGCCTGATGGTGGTGATGGGGCCGTTATATGTCTTCCTTCGGCGTACCAGTGGCTTAATGACGCTGGTTACCTCGTTCCTGACGCGCAATTCAATTTTCTGTCTGGTGAGCAGTTAGAAGAGACTCAGCGGTGCATTAGGGAGCTGTGGGATTGGTTTGTGAATAGCTCGAGGGCGCGGGCTCGTGTTCCGTTTGGAATTGCGCGGGCCAGGGTTGGGAATAAGCGCCAATAAAGTCCAATAGCTAAACAGATAACTAATTCCGCATCTATGCTATTGGCTGGGCTCCAATCACGCTAAATAAGCATACCTAGCGTTGAAGCTTAGAGACCACTTCCTCGGGGCTGCCAACAATCGAGACTCGCCTGTTTTGATGGTATAATTGTATGGCTATAACAGCTAGTTTAGCGTGGATCTCCGTAACATGCAGGCCAGAAGGGTGTAATCGTATAGGCAAATCACCCCCTCAAGACCACCCGAATCGGCAGCTCATCCTCCGGCGACCCAGGCCAACACTGCCTCTCCTCACGTGGCAACGCCGTAAGAACAAATCTCGAGCACACAACGGCAAGAATATGCTGCATACAATAGTACGCCAAGTGATTGCCGAGGCACATCCGCGGCCCGCTCGCAAACGGCCACAGCACATCTTCTCTATTGTATTTCTTTCCACTCACCCGGTCCATCTGAAGCCAGCGCTGGGGATCCCAGCAATTCACATTCTCCCACTTCCGAGGATCCCGGTGCACAAACCACTGGAAGCTGTTGATGCGCGTTCCCGGCGGGATACTGAACCCGGCTACAAAGACTTCTCTGTCGGCGGGCGTGATTCGGGGTAAGGGGGTACTGGTGGGGCGCATTCGCAGGCACTCGTCGATTACGGCGTGGAGATAGGGGAGGGAGTCTAGTTGCGTGGCTCTACTGGGTGCCCCTGTGTCTTGGGTGTTAGAGTCATGGCTTCGGCTGCTCATGTCAATTCCGTGTGCGTCCAGCTCTGCACTAATACGGTGCTGGGCGTCGGGATGTTGGGCGAGGTACCAGAAGGCGTAGCCGAGGATGAGACCTGTTTCACTTAGTTGGAGTTGGAGTGTTAAGGCAGGCATAGAAAAGACGTACCTAAGACCTCTCGAGACGCAGCTGTACCGTTAGCATATATATGGCTGAACAAAGCTAAGGTGTGAACAAAAACGCACAGATGTGGTCAAACATCTCACTAGCGACTTGCATTCGCTGCTCCTTCTCACTGAGATGTGGTGAGTCGCTTCTCACTGCCTCCATAGCTGTTTCATACACAGCAGGCTCATCTTTAGGTGCCAAAGTCAGCCCCGTCCTCTGTTTCCAGCCAATCATCCTCTCAGCCTTCTCAACCATCTGCGACATCCAACCCTCCAGGAATGCCGTTGCATCTGTGTACTTCTTCGGCAGCAGGTTAATACCAACCAACTTCAAAAAAGCATACAAGCCCGGTGTCTCCTGCACGAAGAATGCCTCGTGGCACGATAGGTTCTCGTAGTGAAAGCGCCACAGGCTTAGCCCGTCAAATTCCAAGTCTTTCCCCAACACAGGCATTGAGGAAAGATAGTCCGTTCCGTTAGAATACCCAAATAAGAACGAGCTGAGATAGTCCGTGCACACGCGGTAGCTCAGGTCCAGCCCGTCAATGCGGCCGTTGCAATTGCCTGTCGCCGCTGCGTTAAGTCTCGGTAGAAGACGATCGTAGATGAGACACACTGTGACCTCGCGGAGATGCTCCGACTGAATTAGCGCAGACTTAGAGTACAGACAGGCAGTTCTCCTTCGGCGGAGGCCGTGTTCGTTTCTCTCAAGGCTTGTGAAGGCGTTGCGCTGTCTACATGGATATACGCCCACTCCCACGTTATCTGCGTTACCTCGGAACTGGAACCTTGGAGCTATGGGTGGCCATACCGGTAATAGTTAAACATAGAATAGAACGGCGCCGGCTTCGGAAAGCCCGCATCATAGACCTTCTGGATGCCATCTTGGTAGCAGCTCACGCTGAGATCTTGAGGTCCGACGAGCACAATCGGCCCGTGTTTGCGGTGGGCGTCGATTAGCCTGGAGAGCTCGTTTCCTGACCAACGCGTCCAGAGGATCCAGAGGGGGCTAAAGCGGGAGGACCAGTGAGCGGCGGGGACTTTGTATAAAGGTGAGAAGAGGGGGCGTAGGGTGAAATAGCTGCAGACGGCTACGAGAAGGACAAGTATGAGCAGGGCCATGTTTGGAATGATTCTTAAGCGCTGGGAGGCGACTTGGAAGCCTCTGTGTGGTTTATATACTCAGCAGAGACATGTATCTGAAGTCAGAACGCTAGATCTGCAGCCGAAGGCTAGAACGGGGATCGAAGATCGGCACTCCATGAGACAGGCTTGTTGGTAATCTACAGACCCGTCTTTGTTGCTGGGTGTCATGACGTGATTGAGTCAGTAAAGAATTTCCTACATTCCGGTGTATGGAACATTACCTCCAGTAATAGACCGCCTGCCTTCCATATACAGTGGGAAAGAGTGGCTTGTGCCAGGTCGGGTGAATTCGACAGATGTTGCTCGTTGTTGGTAATTCTGAGCTTGAACCAACAACTGGATTTAATTTAACTCGGTATTTTTGCAGCGTTTTCTAAGAGTATTTTGATAACCTCTTCATTTTTTGCATGAAGGCATCTTGCAAAGGTGTTCTACACCAATTGTTCCGACTACAACTATGATTTGACTTCAAATTCACGTTCTTGATCCAGCGGTGGTTAAATAGCCGTAAAGTAAGAAAACAGAGCGCTGTAGGGAGTTCCTTGCAGCCTGAATCCGGAGGGCCTCCCGAATCATACGACATGGGTACGTCCTACTGCCATGGCATTGAAGTAGATCATGTTAGATTTGTATGGTCATTCGACACTGCCAATAGGTCCAACCTCCATGCTGCTTTTCTGGCCATCCACTGACATATGTCTGTGTTTCTCTCTATCAACCTCACTACGGACCGGCCATGGCTAACAGAAATCAGTATTTTACAACGTTTAAGGATGTCTATAGGAGTGTATAGTACAACTCAAATAGGGCTTTTATCTCACTTAAATCAGGCTAGTATAATACGGGAATCCATATCGTTCATTGAACCCTTGACAGAACTAGGCTCCTCTATTTGTTCTTTGCCAGTAGGTAAGGAAACTGGATCTTACAAAGACCAGCCTTTATCAATTGCCGATTCTCACATAGGTGAAAGTCCCCCCAAAGAAGTCTCAATATGGAATGCAACACAGACAAGGGTGGACGAGTGATGCGCTAGACTGTTGTAGGATATTGTGAGTTCCATGCATTTCTGCATTCCACTTAAAGTCAAATGTTTCGCTCTCATAAGTCGACGCAGTACTAATAGCATTCTTGGTAGACAATCCATATCTTTTTTTTCTGCTTCTTGCAAGGATTACCATTATAAAAGAATGTGTAGCATCATTTCTCTGACGGACAATTTGATTTCATTTGATTAGCGCATGTAACAGCATTTCAAATATGTTGAGAAAGCATACCTATACCTTCTACCAGCATAAATACTTCCCGATGAGCATGGAACGCGCCTGAAGACAAAAGTGGCCTAAGAGCTACGCTGTAATTGGATGCCGTCTACCCTGTAGAGCTATAATTGTACCGTCTGATAAGTCATGACATTTCTATGCAATATTCAATAGAACATCGCAGTGTGTGGCATAAGATACAATTACGTTTCAAGTGTATACATGGCGTTTAGTATTAACTGGGTTCCAATGAGTCCATGAGGTCAGAGGATAGCTTATCACACAAACAACGCCATAAGTGCGTAGGGGCTTTTTGGTGCTCTATTTGGTTAACCTATGACACAATGCATTGAGTTTGGATTACATCGCCATTTACTAATACTTCCAGATGCCTAGACTCACTTTGTGTAACCATGGAGATGTCAACTTACCTTAATATAAGTTTAGATTACGACCGCAGTGCTATGTTCCAAACCTTAAAATCCAACCCTGAACCCCTATAGGCTTGAGATTAGAATATTAGCAGCCGATCATTGTGGCACGATTTTTCTGCAAACGGCGGATCGAGTCAAATACAAGATTCTTTACGGATGTAACTGGGTATAAATGATAGTGCTTATTGCCACCTGCTACATTATGTTCAAGTTCATCCCATTGCTTCGTCACAGGGTTCCCTCCACCATCTCCTTTTAATATATAGTCATTCAACCATAGCTTGCCCCCATATGCTGAAAATGAACCTTCTATATCTACTCCTAATTTTTATTTACTCCTTCCAACCAGTTGCTTGCTGGGGAGACCTGGGTCATCGCACTGTTGCCTACCTTGCGCAGAGATACTTTAGCAAAGAAGCAGCGCAGCTCATAGATGATCTTCTGCCCAGTGGTGATGGTTCGGATATTTCAGATGCGGCTGTTTGGCCTGACAAAGTGAAATTTCACCGTCCATTTACCAGACCATGGCATTTCATTGGTATGTTGTAGCAAACTTCCAATTCCAATACTGAAATTTAATTGTCATAGACGCTTTGGACCATCCACCTGATTCCTGTCAGGTTTCCTTCACGTCGGATTGTGGTCATGGCGGATGTATAATTTCTGCTATTCAAAACATGGTAAATATTGGACCAACCGCTTCTAAAGGTCTGTAGAGCTAACTGGGTCACAGACAAATCAGGTTAACGATCCTAACATAGCCCAGGATGAGCAAGCTGAAGCGCTCAAGTTTCTCATTCATTTTCTTGGTGACATCCATCAGCCATTGCACGCGGAAGCTTTAGAGCGAGGAGGAAATGAGATCCATGTCTGCTTTGACAAGCACTGTGGCAAAAAAGAAAACCTCCACGGTATCTGGGACACAGAAATCCCTCATAAAATGAACGGCATCAAGCATAACGAAAAACATAATGACGAAAAAGAACCAGCTGAACGGTGGGCAGCAAGTCTCTTTCGGGCCAATAGGTTCAGGCCTCATCATGCGGAGTGTTCAAACATCCAGAACCCTTTGGAATGTGCTACACTGTGGGCAAAGGAGACGAACAGACTGAATTGCGATTACGTCTTGAAAAGGGACATCGACTGGCTTGAAAACCATGACCTTGGAGGTGATTATTACGATGGGGCTGCCCCTATTGTGAATGAACAGATCTATAAAGCCGGAGTCCGCTTGGCCACATGGATAAACACTCTGGCAGCTCAACGGCCATCATCAACAGGTTTCCTTGTTACACAGGACGGAAAAGTGGGAAGAAATTTTGAGCTCTAAATCTCGGTTTCATCGCTTCTGCAGAATTGGGAATCACATACGGATCCGCCCCTTGTGCAATCCAGTTGTTTTTCCTGTTGTTGAAAAATGCGCGAGGAGTTGAGCGGGGGAAGGAAGCGGAAGAAAAGCGAAAAAAAGGGAGAGGGATGGCGAAACAGAAAACTCTTGGTTGAGAGGGCAAAAGTTGGAGTTCTCTGTTTCGAGTCCTGACTGAATAGTTGAATCTCCTTTACCTACCTTGAAAGCAGTCATCTTTATTCGAATTATTTAAAATACTTCTTGCAGGATACTCAACGTCTCAGCTCTTCAAAACAGGCAAGAGTCATAGACGAGTAGATTGTGCCTAGATTTGAGCTGAGAGTCAACATTCGCAAAGGCTTTTGGAACTTGTGATACAGCTGACAATGGGACTGTATCTTAAAACCTTCGATTTTTGTGCTACAGAAGATACCCTTCTTTTCCGATTATCATATCATATTAACTTCAAGATTGAATGCTCCACTCGTAGCAGCAAAATCTTTTAGCTGATAGACTCTAGGCTGCATCATGTTAGCATAGGAATCCACAAGGAAATACCTTTCTTAAGTTGAATATCAGAAGGTACGCCTATGGTTCTACAACAAGAAGCATCCAAATTACAGACACACTGTTGATCCTGATAGAATATAGGAACTGTGCTGTGTATTCCCTGCATCACAGTAATACTAACTGTTTGGTATTCACCATGATGAAACAGGTTTAGGACACAACACTGGCCCATGTAGTGGCCCCGATATTTACCCCAATGTTCTACATTTCCGCAAGTCTCTTCGCACATGCCAACGTTGGGGAAGAATTCCTGGTCGATGTTGATTAGTCCATAGTCCATAACATGGGGCTATCTTTTAGACTGGAGAAGATTTTAGATCAATACCTCTATTGTAGGCCTCGCCAAGGAAGAAATCACAGGTAAATGGTGATTTAACATAGTTCAATGAGCCCACTCCACTCCACTGCACAGATCGTGTCATATTCTTTGCCAAAAGCCACGGCTTGGGCCTGTCCATCTCTGTTATCGTCCTCAGCCACTTCTCGGCAACCTCCGAGTTGATCACCAAGATCTGGGCCCCAACATCAAGGATGACTACTGTAGGCGGATGCAGGTTTACCACCATGTCCAAAGGCTCTGGGTGTCTGAGCTGCGCATATTATCACGTAGTGAGGTAAAAGCACTGATATCTCACCTGCTAGAAGTTACTCTAGCATCATGGTATTAGGGTGGTTTTGCTCCCGAAGATACAGTTGCTCTAAGCTTAAAGGAAGGGTCACGGAGGAGTAATTCGTGTCGCTAACGCCAGCTGTCGGGTGGTCCTTGACTTCGCTGATGTTCCATACGGGAACTCTTTCAATTCTTTGAGAGAGGCAAGGTAAGAAAGAAAGCAGACAATGGCTCCTTTCGCATTGCGGAGATAAGGGAAAACACATTTCAAACAATGATGACTGTCGAAGGTTTATGCCGCTCAACTGGCGGTATGCGTATGGAAATATCAGGGCATCATCCATCCATGTTTGGTACATATCTAGGGGCTTTCTTCGGAGAGTGGAGTAGAAGCAAGAGTCATAGACATGACCTATAAGTAGGTGTTAGATATCTGGAATAAGTATATGTCTGCAAGGGACAGCCAGATGACAAACTGTCTGGATGTATGGGCTCCTCAGGAGAGGGATACCAGGACGAATTAACTCAGAATGACGGTCCGGAATATGCCTTTTGTAAACTAAAAAGAATGAGATGGTTGTATCCTGTAGTAGTCATAGGGACTATAGATATCAGTAGGTGCTGCCGCCAGTAGAAATGTAATATTTATATTAATATTTATAATGCACCAATTTGTTTACTAGTGGGCTCATAAACAGCATACAGGAGTGATCTGCATTAGCCATAAGCTAATTATGAGGAGAGATCAACTCATAGATCTTTATCCACAACAGACCCAAAATCTAGAGGTATCCCACTTTTCCAATAATTCATGAACTGGTGATCAAGACCACGGGGTGAGGACAACTAATGCACAGATGCCTACTAGAGAAGTTAGTGGTATATCTCTTCATTTAAGCTCTGGACTGCTTACAGTATTTCTGCCTATAGAGATTAACATACAGCCCCTATAATCTTTTCCTTCCGTTGGGTCTAAATGTGCCGCGAAGTTCTGCTAACTCCTTGCTGTCAGATAACTTACTGAACTGTTGGTTAGACTGGCACCATTGTTTCCAAGCTGGAATCTGCCACTGCTAGCTGTTAAAAGAATATAGGAATGCCCCAGTGTGCTGCCAGTGTAATATGCAAGAAAAGAGCCTTAAGCCCATAAAGAATTCTATCATAGCATGATGAGGCTACCGTTCCAATATCTCTTATAAAATGTTAGCGGAGCAATCGTAAAACATCTACTTAGGCAAGACGGTATCAGGATTAAAAGGGAAGGTGAGGAGAAATATCAGGGTTCTATAAACCACCGCTCACTTGAAAACTTCCTGGTATGTACAAATTTGGTTAGGGAAGTCAGCTATTCAAGAGTCTTCAATTAGTATAAATTTTAAAGGGCTCACTCAGCCGAAGTTAAATAGTTAGTGTTCACTCTAAGTATTCTGGACCAAAACATTAACTGAGAAGCTGAAAATGTCAAGATTACAAAATGGAAGGTTCTCTTCTTATGGGGGAATAAACAATAGCACCCGCTATAGGCTCTAAGTACTATAGTATTTAACACTATTAGTCTTGGCAATGGAATATGGCTGACGATGTTGCAGGACATGAAGGGTGTATATAGATGAAGAACAGATGTCAGTATTGACAAAGACGATTAAAGTTATATTACTTGTTCTCGCTTAGAGAAAAAAGGGGGATAGCATCGCGCCAGGTGATTTGCTAACCAAGACATTTGTATAATTAGCGATAAATGTCCGGCCCCGGTACTAGTAGCAAAACGTCGGCCGAACAGACAAATCAGCTATTAAGACAATAGGTTCTCCAGTTCCCCAGATAAACTTCGGCTCTCTCCGCGCATTGGCACTGTGCAGTGCAGTATTGAATTTCATTCTGTGTGGCTAGCATGCAAGTTGTCCCCCTGACCACTAAAAACTCCTCTAGCCACCATCGTTAATATCTTGGTATCAAGTGACACCTCTGTGTGGTGGGATGACAGCCTTCTTTTTAGCCTTCTTCTAGCGTATATACAGAGAAGAGGATCATCCACTTTTATTGAATAATTCACTGAGATCAACATTTGGACCTAGTGATGGCGCTAAAATCTTGAGCCACCTCATGAAAACAAAATATAAATGCACCTTCCCGCACAGATTTCTTAACTCACGAGAAATTTACTGTGCTACCTGTCTCGCAGATCAAACACCATGCGTTTTTCCAGCATTGCTGCAGGAATAGCCAGTGTCCTTGGACACCTGGCTGCTGCTTCGCCTGCCAGTGAACTTGCTGAACGCTCCTCTGCAGCTGCAAATTCCTACCTAGTCAAGGAGGGACTGTTCTCCTACGAGAGCATTCTCAAAGCTCTTGGGAACACTGGTAGCAATGCACCCGGCACAGCGGACGGGTTACTTATTGCGAGTCCTAACACAGAGAATCCAGATTGTATGTGCCAGCCAGAGGAACCTCTTTGACAGGAACAAGCTAACTGGATCTACTCCGTGCTCTAGATTTCTTCACGTGGACGCGTGACGCGGCATTGACCATGAAAGGGCTTGTGGATATCTTTGTTGAGGGCAACAAATTCCTGGGTGTCAATTTCGACACCCTTGAAAGCCACATTCAGGACTATATCTCTTCCCAGGCAGTCTTGCAGAACGTGTCCAACCCATCCGGCAGACTTTCTGATGGGTCTGGCCTCGGTGAGCCCAAGTTCGAGGTCAATTTCAACCCATACTCCGGTGGATGGGGCCGACCCCAGCGCGATGGTCCTGCTCTTCGCGCCATTGCCATGTTGACCTACATGCGCCATCTAATCCAGCAAGGAAAACAATCTGTGGCTTCCAACCTCATCTGGCCCGTTGTCGCCAACGACCTCGCCTATGTCGCTCAGTACTGGAATCACACCGGATTCGATCTCTGGGAAGAAGTCGACGGCTCTTCCTTCTTTACGACTGCTGTTCAGCACCGAGCGATGGTTGAAGGCAGCGCGGTAGCTCAGGCTCTTGGGAAGGCGCACGGGGCGTACGACTCGGTCGCTCCACAGATTCTTTGCTTCCTGCAGAGCTACTGGAACGGAAGCGCTATTGTCTCGAACATTAACGCTAATAATGGCCGCTCGGGTATCGATCTCAACTCGGTCCTCACCAGCATTCATTCCTTTGACCCTGCGGCTGGTTGCGATGATTCGACCTTCCAACCCTGCTCGTCTAAAGCTTTGGCAAATCATAAGGTCTATGTAGATGCTTTCCGCTCTATTTACGGCATCAACGCTGGACGTGGTCCTGGAAAAGCTGCAAATGTAGGCCGTTACCCTGAGGATGTTTATCAGGGAGGGAACCCATGGTAAGTCAACCCAATCTTGACAATTACTATAAGCATTTTTTTTCTGATGAATAAAGGTACCTTGCAACCCTGGCGGCAGCTGAGCAGTTGTACGATGCCCTCTACCAGTGGCAGAAACAAGGTTATCTGACCGTCACACAAACCTCCCTCGCGTTCTTCCGGGACTTCTCGTCGACTGTCAAGCCAGGCACTTACAAGTCCAACGACCCCACCTACAAATCCCTAACCGAGTACATCCGCACCTACGCTGATAACTTTGTCTTCCTTGTCGAGCAATACACCCCAAGCAACGGCTCCTTGGCTGAGCAGTATGACCGCAACACCGGCGCTCCTCTCTCGGCCAATGATCTCACCTGGTCCTTTGCAGCCTTCCTCTCAGCCCTTCAGCGACGCCTCTCCATTATGCCGGGCTCCTGGGGCTCGTCATCTGCGAATACTGTTCCTACTGCCTGCGGCACAACTAGCGTAACAGGCA